ACTTATATATTTCGGAAACTTATTTTTACCTACGTCATGAAATGTGATACGGGGTATGACTCATATATAATGAAGCATAAATATAGCTAAACCTGATAAATTACGATTTTTAAACAATGAATGAAGGTTGGAAAAATTTTGTCAAATATCAAAAAGCTATAAATTTTTACGAGTGGGGAAGTTATTAAATTATTGTCTGACAATAATTCCTTCATTTCTGGGTGAATTTTGACCGTGAACTCGACAAGGATTTCAGCAGCGATCGAAATGCAGTTTTTAATCCTGATTTTGGTTAGTAAACAATTTACAAATTAAATAAGCGATTATTTATAAGATGTAATTATTACAAGTTTGAATTTGGCGACAAGTAAGTCTCCTATTAAATTGGTACAAATCCAGGCGTACAGTTTTTAAACTCAAATAAGTTTTCATTTTTGTCAAGTAAAATGCCGAAATTATTAAAATAAAATAATTAATGGCAAAAACAAAATTTAGATAATTTTTTACAATTGTACGCTATTTATGACTACAACGATTTAGAAAGTTATAAAATTTTATTTAAAGGAATACATGTCTGGACTTTTAAATCAATTTATTTAAATATGAGCTTTATGATAATAGTAATTATTAACCGTGAAAGTTATTTAAATTTGTTACACATCACGTTTTTTTACCAAATTATTTACCTTGCAAAAGTACTAATTAAAATTGTCCTTTAAATTTTTAGGTACTTTCCCTCCAAAATATTTTGGCGGGTCAAATCGAACAGCAACCAAGTAGCACAGACAGTGAAGGAAACTGCACAAATTGCACAAAATGTCCCCCAAACGATCCCAAATCGAATAAAGCTTTCGTTTTGAAAGCCTACCAGGAAATTTTGGGGGATCATAATTTCACAAATTTGGAACAATACTTCCACGAAGACTATATCCAGCACAATCCTCACGCCGCTGAAGGGCGGGAAGGACTTCGCGCCTTTGTCAAAAGTGTTCCGGAAGGACCGCAAAAGATTGACTTTAAAAGAACCGTGGCAGAAGATGACTTCGTCTGGGTGCACGTGCGAATGACATCTTTTAACACGTCGTGGGCAATCGTGGACATTTTTAGGATAGAGTGCGGCAAAATTAAGGAACACTGGGATGTTTTGCAGGATACGAAATTGCAGAAAAAAGCGGCAAATGAGCACCAATTTTTTTAATTTAGGAAATTAATTAGAAATGTAAGAGATTAAAATTATTTCGGGCAAATAGAAATTTTAGAGTGCAAATTTATGGTTTAAGTCAGGTATTTTTTGTAAATTTTAATTTTGTCATGTCATGATCCGACGCAAATAATTATTTTGTATGCAATTTAACCAAATTATTTAACTAATAAAGGTATATAAATAATTGATTCTTGTTTGATGTTTATAAAAAATTGCACAAAAATGAGCATTTGAGCATCCATTTTTTTTCAGGAGAAATATATAAAATAAAAATTGATTCATGCAAACAGAAATTTTAGTATGAGAATTTTGTTGTTGTGAAGGATCTTGTTTCATTTCCAAATTTGTATTCTGGTCAAATTCCAACGAATACTGCGATATTTACGAAATTTACATTTACAAATTATAATTTGTAATGCTTTGTGACTTTGATATGTAAAGTGTTCGAAGGTTTAAGGAATTTCAATTTAAATTAATTTAGGTTAACTTTTTAACAAGATTCGACACCAATTGTTACATTTCTGCAAAATTTGACGAAGTTAATTATTTTAAGGTCACGATTGGGTTTAATCCAAAATGTGCAAAAATATGAGCAAATGTGCAGCCATTTTTTCGAATTCGGAGTAATAAAACAAATTAACTTATGGAAATTTTTATAAAAGTTTTATAATTTTATTTCTCGAATCGACTGTCCTAAGGGGATTTGGGGCCGGGCCGTGGCGTCTCCCGTTTCCAGAAGAATCACAAAATCTGAATCTATCCGTTTCGCCTTTCTCGCAAAATCTACTCTTTGATAACCACATGTCGTTGATAAGATTTTTTTTACTATCTATCACTGCATGAAAAATCTGAAAAAGCAAACGTTTTGAGAAGCAAATTATAAAAAAGGAATCTACATTGTAAAATTACGACATAAATGTTGCAAAATTATTGAAATAAACGTGAAACCATGATTACTTTTAATTTGTAAACTTGCTTAGTATGTCACGTTACGTGAATATGCATTAAAATTAGTTTGCAGGATAGGCTGAAACAATCTCAGATTGTCTGAATGATAAAATATTAACGATAAAATATAGAAATATTAATGATAAAATTATTATATTCTCTTAAATAATGCTTAATTTGCTACCCTCAAAATAATTTGGTAACAAAATCATTACTGCGTGTATGAGGCTCTACTAAAGCCTAATTTGTAATATTTTTTGCCTTTGATATGAAAATTTACGAAATTTCGATTCCGAAATTTTTTCTATGATACAACGCCAATAATTAATTTTTCTCCAAAATCTATAGAGTAAAATCTAAGTTAAAGTGTAGTCGCTTGCGGACATAAATTTCTGAGAGATAAAATAATAAATAAACCGTAGTAACGTTAGAAGTAGCTCACCCTGGAATAATGATTAGGATATAGTTTTGCACCAAAGGTGCAAAATAAGCGGACAAAATGGATGCATAATTTTCATATAATTTTGCACCAATGGTACAGAATAAACGGGGAATAACAGAAATTTGATATAATGTTGCACCAATGGTGCAGCCAAAATGGTTAAAATTGTGACTAAATTTTGACACGATTTCAAGGTTAAGTAATGTCAGCCATGGCTAACTAGAACTTTCAGTCAATCCTAACCATTTGGTGCGGAGTACATCGATTCCTCCAATTATTTCGCACCATTTTGCTTTAACGATTGTTAGCCGTAGTAACGTTAGAAGTAGCTCACCCTGTCATGATGATTAGACAGAACTTTGCATCGAAGGTGCAGAATAAGCCGGCAAAATAGATCATAAATCGTATATATATTCTTGCACCGATGGTGCAACAAAAACGGCCAGTCGTTGCACCATTACTGCAGCATTAGCGACCATCCGGGATTCAAAATTTTGAAAACTTTGTCAAAATTGTATGACCATTTTTCCCGGATATTTTGCACTATTGGTGCGTTTTACATCCCTTCTCCCAATTATTTCGCATCATTTTGTGTTACCGATTGTTAGATATCAACGGTGCTATTAATTTATTAAAAAATTCGATTCGGTTTGTTCAATACCAATGGTGCGCCTAACTTATTCTATAATGGTCAAGGGGATTTTTAAATAGCATCAATTGATGCAAAAAACTCGTTAACAGACGGACAGACAGACGGACAGACGGACAAGAGGAATTCAATAGCTCTCATGCTACGCAGGGTTAGCTAATAACCTATCAGTACAGCTTTGCTTAGCCCGAACCAGGATGACTAAAACCCATGTTTGTCCTTAGTTTTCTATAAAATTATGTGCTACTATCTACTTCCATAAAGCGTTAGTGTTAAGTCGCTGCCTGTCTGACTGACCGAGGAGTGATGCGATGCAAGTTGCCCCGTAGAGAAGACAAAGAAGGACGCGGAGCAACCGCATGTATGAATTTTCTGCATGAGTCTCACTTCGCCTGCACGTGACTTTCACGTACGCTTGCCATCAATCTCAAATTAAATGTCTTTGTATATTTGCAGTGTGCAAGTAAATTGAGTGAGTGAGCAGTATGCATACATACATCACTCATCAATAGTGGTTATCATGATAAGTAATCTTGATAAACACTATTAATTAATTATCTTAGTTTGAGAAACTCCACCCACAGCGAGTCGCATATCAATTCGAATGTATTTTTGACGCTGAATCCAACGCCGTCAATGGTTTTGACCTGCGAGGCCCCCGTGACCTTCCCGTGACCGTGGGGTTCAAATATTGCTTATTCGTGATGTCGCATATCAATTCGAATGTATTTTTGACGCTGAATCCAACGCCGTCAATAGCTTGGCGTTAATTATAGAAGTTAAAGGGGATTGTGGAAGCTAACGGGGTTTGTGGAAGTTAACGGGGTTTGTGGAAGTCAACAGGGTTTGTGGAAGTTAATGGGAGCGTGGAACGTGAGAATTTAAGTGGTTAGCTATCCAGCCACTCCCACAGGGGGAAATCAGATTGTTCCGTAACCAGGGAAATTGAAATACAGCATGACTTGGGCACTTTGATGCATGTATGCGCTATGACAAGGGACAAAGTCTCTACTGGAAATTATTTAAAGTTTAGGGATTTTGCGCTATGGGCACACCCCCCTCTGGGGGCCTAGAACCCGTTCTTGAACGGGCCTCTACTCTAGTTTTACATAATACACTAATTGTTGCATTAAGTAGCATCAATCCTTCGTATTACTAGGCTCAAAATTCTAAAAATATTTACAATCCCTTACACTTGCTACTTCCCAGTGGAGGTCGCCTCTACAGCCCCTCCAGTTAATTTTTGTTCATATTTCACTTCATATTATTTCATGAGAAAGCAGTAAGGATCTCTGGTCCAAATTTCAGCTTTCTATGTTAATTTCTAAAAATCGGTATGGGTCACTCCATGGGGTCGCTCTAGATAAAAATTTTACCAATTTCATGTCGTATTCTTCCATTAGGACCCATAAGCAACCTCTTCACCAAATTTGAGCACGATATGACGATTTTGAAAAAGACGTATGGGTCACCCTCTAGGGTCACTCAAGATGAAAATTTTTCCAACTTGAACTCATTTTTATCTATTAGGAGCCATTAGCAACCTCTGTGCCAAATGGACGTAGTTTTCATAGGATTCGGACAGATAAAATAAATTCGTGGGCATGTAAAATTTTTGCAATTTGTGATAGAAATTTACATATTCGTAAATTGTAAACATTTTGGAATTTTTGTTGATTAAAAGAAATTATTTCGCAATTAATTTCGATTAATTTTAAGGATTAATTCAATAATTTTGTAATTGTCTTTATTCTGATGAATTATTAATGTAGAACAATTTGGCACGATTTAAATACTTTTTATACATAAATAATTAAACCATTTAGGAATTTATGGATTTTAGCGTGGACATAATTCCCACTATTTCTTGCCCTTCTTTCCGGAAGTAGTGGCCTTTTTTAACTTGGCGATTTCGGCTTCAACGCGAATCCACATTTTTTTCTGGAAATCTTTCCTGTACCCGAAAAAGAACAGAACTTCGAGCAGAACGAAAAGTGGGGCCATCCTGCGAAAAATATGGTTAATTCAAAATATGAATTTTACAAATTTTTTATTTAATTTGATCAACAACATTCGCGTGTATCAAATTATTTGCACATTTTTATTACGCTTTAAACCTAACATTCAGGACAGATTTTTCGTGCGAAATGAGAGATTATTCGCTTTCTATAAAATTACCTCCGCAGTACTCCGCACTAAATTACTTGAATTTCACAACAAAGTACAGGTAAATGAGAGTATTTCTTCAAATAAAGTACAAAATGTTACATAAGTTTCTTATTCTCGTTCTTTTTTTCGCGAAAAATCTCATTTGAGTACTTAGCTTCACACCAAAACTTTGTACCACTGGGAATAAAAATATCTATAATTTGAACGCCAATAATAAAAACGAGAATAGATAGAAATATCACAAATAAAATAGATTTCCAAAAATCACCTTTCGTTGTTAAATTTACAGAAAAAACTGCTAAGTACTCATATATTTAGCTCCGTATAAATCTTTTTAAACTCCATTTTTATGTATATTTCTTCAATCCGATAATTTTGGTTAAACAAGTTGAAAAAAATTAAGCATCGATTAATTAACCTGTTTAATCTTCGAGTACATTTGCAACCTGATTTTCCTTCGTAATTTTCGAAAGTCGACTAAATCTACCCGATTTAGACTCTGACTCGATACATTAGAAACACTCCTAGAACTATTTATTGACCACGCTTAAATTATCAATGTCACACTTTCTAACAATCGCTGACAATTTCACATTATCCAAAACGGTATCGAGTTTTCTAATCTATCATTTTTTTTTACATATAAACGCCCTAGAAATGTCTGGCTAATTACTTTACAATTAAAATTCTAAAGATGTACATATTAAACTACGGCGTAATTTGACAATAATATTTACAAACTCTAGATTACAAAGTAGTCTTTCACGTGAATTTCGTGATTATTTTAAGACGTACACGAAGGCTTGCATCATGTTACCCAGTAAGGCTGGAGCCCTCCCTTCGAATGCGCCATGACCAATAAACTGTAGTAAAAAACAATATATATATTTATAAATTTTAATCTTTCAAATGAAAAAATTTACAACCTTATTTTTTCAAGATTTACATAAATCACAGTAATCAATGATTGGCTTAAGTTTTTTAATCGTCAATGTCCAAAATTTACATATTTTTGCAGAAATGCGATGAATTTATGATTCAAATTTCCAGAAATTTGGATGATCTGGTAAGCTAAAATAAATTTTAAAAAAACTTCGCAAAAAAGTGTTGGTTTGAACTAATAATAATTATATTAACTATTTTAACTAGTTTAACTAGTTTAACTTCCACTTAACTTTAAATATTGAATCACATTTGATAAGGTTTACGATTTATCATTGCATGAAAAATTGTTCAGATGAGAAGAAACCTATATTATAGAATTACGACATAAGTATCGTAAAATTATCGAAACAAACGTGAAACCTTGACTAATTCTAATTTGTAAACTTAATAAATGTTACGCGAATATGCATCAAATTTAGTTTATAGGGTAGGCTAAAAGAATCTCGTGGGGTAGATTGGCTTAATGAAGACTTGATTGATACAAAATTACCTCGTTAAAAAAATACTTAATTTGGTACACTGTAAATAAATTGGTAATAAAATCGTCACCACATATGTGGCACCACCGAACGGAAGCTATAATTTATGTGAACCTCAAATTTTACACATTCTGGTTTGAAATTCTGGTTAAGATGTGGTATAAAATTTTGAATCATCTCAAAATTTTAGGTACCATTCGGTGACAAATCTTTGCCAATGTAGTAGAGTCACATGGTGACGATTTTGTTACCAACTGACCTATTTTGATTTTAAATAAACTGCATTTTCATAAATCAGACGAAAACTGACCTGCGCAATCCAGCAGAGAACATGCAAAACGGCCGCGACCTGCCACGCGGGGTGTCCCCAGGTCGCCTGCGCGCCGAGGTAAAAGCGATGCGCGGTGACCAGACTGACCAAAACTAGAAGAGCACCAAGACTTCCAAGAGGACCAAATTTGATGGGTTAAATCAATTGAAATTATATATACCCATTTGCATTATATACCTGAAACATGGAGGCAATTCACGCAGTCGTTGGAAAATTTCCCAAAATAATTTTTAAAACTTGATGAATAAGTTTAGAAAAATGTGTAAATGTGTAAGCTAATTTTTCTTTGAAATATTTGTACAATTTTGTAAAAGTTTACGAATTGTGCACTGTAAATGGATAGATTTTTAGATTTATTTGAAATTTCAGTTTTCTTATTATTATACGTTCTGCACGAATCCATGTGTACAAAATAAAACTTCGCTTCATCTTTACGTCGTCTTACGCGAATGTCATTTTTATAAAATTATCAAGATCGGCGTCTGCTAATGCAAATCACTGTTTTTGTTAACTCACCTTAGAAAATATAATATAAAAAATGCGCTCTTGATACGATCAAGGTTACAAAAATTTGCGAACTAATTTTCGTTTTAAAGATAAGAATTTGTAAAATTTTGTAAAAATTTATAAGTTTACGGATTTTACGGAATTTACAAAGTTACCAAGGCCTGCGTGAATTGCTCAAGATTATCATGACTTAAATACAATTTTTTATTCCAATTTTTCTTGCATCCTAGTTTCAATATTTTCGATTTTCTAGTCCAAAAAATTGTACAATTTTACTCACTTTTTGTCCATCATGATGTAAACCCCGGCATAAAAGAGAGCCGTGATCAGGGTAATATTTGGCGGATGGAGGGGATTTTCCGGAATAAATGGCACCTGCGGCGGAATATATTCCGACAGGACGAACGCTGACCACATAATTGGCCATACGCAGCCGATATGGATCAACTTGATGAGCGTTGAATGGTGGTACGACGCGTAGAAGGTGAACTGAATTAAAAATCAATTTACTTAGGTTTTGGTAAAATTGAAAATTTTGGAAAAAATTTTGATTCATGTACAAAATAAAGCGAGGTTCAGTAAATTTTGACAGTAAATTTGCTTTCGCAATCTTTGCAAATTTATAAATTTACTGGGTCACGCATGCACATCTCCGCAGATCTCCTGCTTAACATGTATAAAGCAATTATCCAAGTTTTATCTAGTTTTTTTCTTAGTGAGGCAAATACCTAACAACGAAAAAATTACTAAGTATGCATTTGACCCACCCCAAAAAAGTGACCATCTGCGATATCTCAGTCATTTTTCAACCGATTTTGATGAAATTTTTTATTTACAAAAATTACTTTAATCCGAAAAATTTAATTTCAACCAAAACATTCACTTTAAACCAAAAAGCTTAGTTTAAACCCAAAAATGCATTTTAAATTTTTGCCAATAATTTTTTGCAAAATCCAACGCCAATTGATATTTTTTTTGTCAAATTTAATGAAGTAAATCAGTCTAAGGCAGTGTGTGCAAAAAAGTAGCCTTTTTACTTTTTCTACATGTCTTTTTGTCTTTTTCAATGCCCTTTTGCCTTTTTACGTGCCTTTTTGATGCCTTTTTGATGCCTTTTTGCCCTGTTTGATGCGTTTTTGCTCGATTTTTGACTATTGAACCCGATTTATTGTCGTTTAAAACGTGTTAAAGAAATTGAAGAATCTGCAATATGTTTTAAAAATTGTATTGAAGGGTACTGACTTTCATCAATACTTCGAATTAGTTTAATACTTTTCCCTAGATATCTTCAGACATCGCCATCAGCTCATTTAATCAAATTTTGACTCTAAAGGTCATATTTGCGAAAAGTTAAAAACGCAATGAATCACTTTCACTTTAATTTTATCACGGGGTTTTCGTCTCATCTCACCCCAAATTAACAAAAGGGCAAAAAGGCACAGATTTTTGTGGGGCAAAAAGGCAAAGAGGCAGGCAAAAAGGCACTGCCTGCCTTTTTGCTCTGCACACACTGGTAGCAAATGCAAAATTGCCAGGTTCAATGAAAAAATTGCACAAAAATTGGATATGCACTGATTTTTAAAAAATTTGGAGTGATAAAATAAAATTGATTTGTAGAAATGCAAAACATTTGAAAATTTATGTAGAAATTTACATATTCATAAGTTATAAACATTTAGGAAACATTTGCTGATAAAAAAATATACTTCACGATTAATTTCGATTAAATATTACGTGATTGCTTGAATAATTTTGTAATTTTCTTTATTCTCATGAATTATTAATGTCTATAGGACAATTTGGCACGATTTAAATACTTTCAATGCATAAATAATTCAACCATCTAAGAATTTATTGATCAGAGTATAAGCTGTGTTCGCAGAGTTGGTACGAAAATAATCACAAAGTATCGCAAAAAGCTGACTACGCAAGAGTCGCACAAGAAAGGTCCCTAACTTAAAGAAACGCAGAAAATCGCAGAAAAGGTCCGTAAGAATGGGAGAGAGAGAGAACGGACTACAAATAGTACACTTCCTCCAGTTCCTTTCCTGGAGGAAGTGTACCTAGAATCGAGGCAACGTTCCCACGTTGCGCGGCGAGCGAAACCCGCTGGCGTAAAAAGTTAACGGCGTTGGACTGTCCAGTTGCGGCGGCGATCCTCTGGCCAACTTGGAGGATGAAGGCCAGTCCCTCTTGGCCCCAAACTCCCGTGGTCTCCATGGCAACGGGGACAAAAATGTATCGATCCATGAGGAAAGCGTACCTCTTCCTCTTGCGGTCCTCTGCCTTGCTGGCGGCAGCGCCCTGATGGTGCACGGTGTCTGGGAGGTAGCTGGGGGCGAATGTGTCCGCGCAGGTGAAGTCCCAGACAAGGGACCTCCCCCGCGACCAAGGGACAAGTGTCATCCCGTCGGGACGCTTGCCGTCCGTAGTGGAGCACCCCGCGGGCTCCCTGATGCAGGGTACTTCGGCAGACCGGAGGGCTCTTGCGATGACGTCGTTGGCGGCCTCATGGCGGGACCCTTACTTCGGCGGCAGGAGAGGCCGTGGTAGCCTCTGGAGGTGACCTGCGCCCCGCACGGGCACTTGTGGGGCTCGCAGATATCGCAGCCTAGGCGGAGGGCGATTGCGACCCGAAAGGTCTCGTTGGGGAGAAGGGTGCCCAGTTGTGGAGAGGGGAGGGCGTTGAGCCACACCCCGGCGTATTTGTCACGGAGGGAACGTAGACGGGCAGTATCCTCCGGGATCACTGCCAATTCGGAGAGTTTGGACAAAGTGTTGTCCAGTATGGGGCGTTCCCACGCCGATTGAATCCCTCTGACGGTTTCGAGTGGAAGGTCGGTGAGGTCAAGGTCGGTCCACCGCTGCACACCCTCTGCCATGGCGATGTCGGTGCCATGGAGGTGGTCCGGAAGGAGACGTTCTACATGGGGCAGGACGCTGTGGACCGACGCTAAAAAGCACGGAATCGCCACATCCACAGCGTGCCTGAGCCCCAGGCCGCCTTCCTTCACGGGTAGGGAGGACTGCATCCAAGCAGCCTCCGAGAGAGTGCAGTTGAGGATCCCTTCCAGGGCGTCCTTCAGAGTAGCGTCGTAGTGGGCGAGGGCGTCCAACTTTCTCCACGACGGTGCGCAGCGGAGAAAGTAAATCAGCCGGGGGATGGAGATGGACGCCCTCAGGAGGAAAAAGGCCGAATGAGCCGAGAGATCGAGGAGTCGTTGGGAGAAAGTGGCCAATTGCTGCGTCTTCGTGGCCAGAACCACCCCCAGGGCTTCTTTAGTTAAGGGGGCGCCCAGCAGCATCGCAGAATCAGGGGACATCAGCTGAATCCCGGGGGCAACTTGTTGGAATTGGAGCAGGATGTCGATGGCGGCCTCCCGCTCCGCCCCCAGAATCCCGACTTCACATTTGTCGTGGTTGAGGTGAAGGCCCACCTCACCACTCATCCTAGCAATGGTTGCCAGGGCCGCCAAAGCCTTCTCGGGAGAGTCACCAATGGCCCCATCGTCGAGGTACCATAAGTTTAGTTCCGTTTCCATGGCTTCGACGATGGGGTGGATTACGAGGGAGAAGAGGGCGGGGCCTAAGGGGTCGCCCTGATGGCACCCAAGGAGGGAAGGGATGGGGATGGTCCCGTAGAAAAGCGACGAGGGGCTTTCGTAGCACTGCGCCACAAAAGGAAAGATGGAGGGAAAGTGGTCGCGGACGGCGTGGAGTAGCGTGTCCCGCCGAATTTCATTGAAGGCGTTCCTGAAGTCGATTTTCAGGAACGCTTTTGGGGAGGTGTGGTCGTGGCCGTAAAAAATTCGGGCTGCGTGGGCGCCAATCTCCGCCCCGCCTTTGATGCCCACCCCCAATTGGTGGGGGGAAAAATGCTTGATTAACTGAGGGGTAATCCTTCCCACAATGATCTTCGCGGCAAGGCGCCGCCACGTATTACCCACAGCGATGGGTCGAATCCCGCCCGACTTCTTCTTCAGGGCAGTGAGGGAAGCTCCGTAAAAGAGGGGGCAAAAAGTTGAGGGGACACCACCGTTGAGGACCTTGTTGAGGAAGGTCCGCATCGCTTCGGCGAGTTGGTCGCCCCCTTCTCCTTGACTGCACCCCAGGAGATCCTTCAAGATCTGGGGCCTCATTCCGTCCAGTCCCCCCGCGGACCCTGGCGGAAAAGAGGAAATTGCCCGAAGCAACTCTTCGTCTAAAACCGGGGCAATGACAGGATCCTCAAGTGGTGGAGGAAAATCGACTGGTTGTGGGTGGGCGGGATGTTTTGTGAGAAGGGCGGCGAGGGTCTCATCGTCGGACGGAGCGATGGTGTCATCTGAGCATGCGAGGCGAATTGCTCCCCGAATGTCACCATCGGCAAACTTGGCCTCCACCTTTTTCGCCGTCATGTCGAGTGGGGGTTTTTTAGAAGGTGGGCGTGGTGGGAGGGGCCGAGGGATGGAGAAGCCGCCCACCCACCCCGCGGTATGATCCTTGACCCAGGTTGTCAAATTCTTGATGCGATCAGACTTCTGGGGGACTGGGAGTGTTGCATAAGGAAAGAGGAGCAACTTTCCCCAGCTTTCTTCGTCGTCCGACTCGGACACTTGCTCCAAAATCTTGGCGAGACACTGCGCCACAGACCTTCTTGCACCGCGGGGGACTCTTCGCAAAGTGGGCGTGGTGGTCTTGAGGCGGGCGAGAATTTCTCCCCAATCGTAGCGTTGTTGTTGTTGTTGAGGTGAAGGTGGAGGTGCATCCACCCACTGGATACCCTCAAAACAGTTGTGGAGGCCACCCCTGGCTCCAACGCGACGGGTGATGGTGTCGGGGAAAAACTGTTTTATGTATTTCCCAATGGTGGACTCCGAGACTCCGCCCTCCCCGCTCTGGGCGACGTAAACAGCGTAGCGGGCAAAGACGTCTGCTTTCTTCAGACGGATTGGAGGGTGATTGTTGGGGTCGACAACAACAAAAGAATTACGAACCCAGTCCTGGGCGGAAGAAATGGTGTCTTTTTTGGTAACACCAGGGGACGTGGGGGAAACGGATGATCGGCAAGGTCGGGGGACAATGAGTGACGTGTCGGAAACAGAGGGGGGATCGGCGTCGCAAATCGTGGCTGACGTCGCCCCGTCACTCGAGGAAGGCTCATCACCGCCTAATCCGCTGGCGGAAAGGGGGATTCCGATGATGGATTTGCGTGGTCGGCCGCGGGGGCGAGGTGCAGGTGTGGAGACATCCCGCGGGGGTTGTGACAAGGGGGGATCGGCGTTTTTTTGTGGCGTGGACATTCTCTGTGAGGGGCCTTGAGGGCGAAGAGAGACCAATTAGTCCCACCCAAGGAAACAAAAATAATTAGTTTCCCGTCACTCCAGTAAAATTAAAATTAAAATTTCAGAAATCTCGCCTGAACAAGGCATTTAAAATGCGTGAGAGAGGCCAACCCCAGCAGAAGACGGTCACTCAAACTCCGTGCCGCTTCTGGGGGTGCAGGGACCTCCCCCCTACACGAGCTGAGTCGTGGGAACTCCTTCCAGAACCAAAAACGAGAGAAAACCGAGCCTTGACAACGGTTGCTAAGGGGAGGCGGGGCTTGCTCCGTGTTGGGAAGAACGGAGCCCACTAAAACTACCCCAAAGTTTCCAAAACAGGTTCCCCCCCAACGAAAGACACTTCACTACCCACTGGGGGTCTAAAGGACTGGTTGGGAAGAAAAATTTAAAATGGGGGTGGCCCTGGTCGTCAGATTTTTTTAAAAACTAAAAATATTATAAATGGAGGAGAAGTGACGTGTTCTCCTCTCGAGCGCGCTCTCTCTCTCTAAGAATTTATGATTTTTAGCATAGACACAAATAATCAATTATTTCTTGCCCTTCTTTCCGGAAGTGGTCGACTTTTTCAACTTGGCGATTTCAGCTTCCACGCGAATCCACATTTTTTCTGGAAATCTTTCCTGTACCCGAAAAAGAACAGAACTTCGAGCAGAACGAGAAGTGGAGCCATCCTGCGAAAAAAAAGTAATTAACGCAAGCTTCCATGACGCGCCGCCTACGTCACAACCCTATATTTTTAATTAATTCTCAGCAACTAGGACGAATTTCGAAATTCTGGTCGACGATATTATAGAGCATCCCGTGGTCGTTGTACTCGAGCAGAAATCAAACATTTTGGTAGCTTGAGAATAGCTGGATGCCACAAATAGTTCAAATTCCATAAGAACCCATGCTAATCATCAGGCAAAATTGGCTTATCCATATCGATCAATTTTAAATGCAAATTTTTAAGCAGCTAATTATCAACAATAGCGGTGTACAGAATTTTGAAATTCGATTTCCAAGTCTCGAAAAATTAGTTTGAAATTTATGAATATTGCTGTGTATTTATGTATGTAAAAGTATGGGAAATCTTGTGATGAGTCGAGTCCTTCCACCTGAAGGAAGTACTGGATCCGCGATTACATTACCCGAATGAGCCGAATTATCCTATTATTTTACACCACTTATTTTTATTTTGGCGTTCAAATTATTCAATTTCGTATGATTTCTACGACGAAATAAAAAAACTGGTGGTAAATAATAAACTAAGTCGGTTCATTCGGCTAATATAATTCAAAGTCCAAACGGGGATGCAAATTTCGCGCAGTTTGAATTACTCAATGATTTTTTGAGACGACTACGTCATGGAGGCTAGCCTTAATTCAAAATATTAAAAAAAAATATTATTTTTGTTTTTTACGCTTTACACTAAAACTTTTTACTAATAGAATAATTTGTGCCCAAAGGTACTTGCATCTAAAATTTGCTAAATCAATAGCGATCCTTTCCAGAAATCATTTTTCGCTGTTAAATTTACACAAGAAAAAACTTGAAACTTTGTTCGATTTCGGAAAACGGGGGAAAATCCCTGAAAACGGGAGAAAATCCCAGAAAATTCGTATTTTGATCAAAATTACACTTGATATATTCACGACGTCTAAGTAATTTGTAATATTTTTTATCTTTGATATGGAAATTGTTTGAACGTTTAAAGAATTTCGTGTTAAATTTTTTATAATAATTTTTGCTAAATCCGACGTCAGTGATAATTTTTCTGCAAAATTTAACAAATTCAATGGATTTAAGATTGCAAGAAATCTTTGTTTGTTGAACAAATTGCACAAAAAATAGATATGCCCCCATTTTTTAAAATTCGGAGAGATAAAGTGAAAATTAATTTGCGGAAATGTAAAAATTTTTGAAATTTTCGCTGGAAATTTACGTATTCATAAGTTATAAACATTTAGGAATTTTAGCTAATTAAAAAATATACTTGACGATTAATTTCGATTAAATATTACGCGATTGCTTGAGTAATTTTGTAATTTTCTTTATTCTCATGAATTTTTAATGTATATAGGACAATTTGGCACGATTTAAATACTTTTTATACATAAATAATTAAACCATTTAAGAATTTTGTGGTTTTTAGCATAGACACAAATAATCCCTTATTTCCTGCCCTTCTTTCCGGAAGTGGTCGCCTTTTTTAACTTGGCGATTTCAGCTTCGACGCGAATCGACATTTTTTTCCCGAAAAAGAACAGAACTTCGAGCAGAACGAAAAGTACGAAAAAATGTAATTATATGTATTATATAAGTATAATATTTTTTGTCTTTGTTGACAAAATTGTTGATAAAATTGTTTCAACATTAAGGTATTTCTGTTTTGTAAATTTGTTCATGATCCCACGCCAATAATTCGTTTTTATGAAATTTAAATAAAGTTATTTAATTTTTAGGTAAAACAGAGATATATTGGAGTTTAGGTTTATTGCGACTGATCTTATTTCGTTTCCAAAATTTGTATTTTGGTAAAATTGCAATTTGCCATTTGCGATGGTTACAAACTCTAATTTGTAACATTTTGTTGTTTTTGATATAGAAATTGTTTAAATATTTTGATTATTTGAAGAAAGGAATATGAGTCTCTGACTGAACATAATTTTCCGTGATCCTACTCCAATAATTATCTTTCTCGAAAATTTAACTGAACCTATTTAATCCTAAGAAGATAAATGGAAAGTCGTTTTCATGGAAGGAAATAAAAAATAAAAATTAATTCGAGGAAATGTAAAAGTTTTGTAAGTTATAAAAGAAGCACATTTCCAACTGATCGGATTTTGACTTTCTTTATTACCCAATTATTCGACCGGTTTCAGCATTATTTCAGCAGGCGTCTTGTTTTTTTTTTAGAAATATTGTGATTTTTGTTAATTGTATTACATGTTTTCTGCTTGTCTTTAACTAAAACTTTGTTCAAATTTACGTATATGTTCGTAAGTTGTAAACATTTTGGATCTCCTGTTAATTAACTAATTTTATTTCGCGATTCATTTCGATTAAATTTTAAGCGATTATTTTGATAATTTTGTAATCATCTTTATTCTCATGAATTATTAATTTAGAACAATTTGGCACAATTTAAATACTTAAATAAGTACACCATTTCATAATTTATGGATTTTAGCGTAGACATATTTCCCACTATTTTTTCCCGTTCCTTCCAGATGTGGTTGCCCTTTTTAACTTGGCGATTTCAGCTTCGACGCGAATCCACATTTTTTTCTGGAAATCTTTCCTATACCCGAAAAAGAACATAACTTCGAGCAGAACAAAAAGTGGAGCCATCCTGAAGAGAAAAAAGAAATGTAATTAATTCAAAATATTAATTTTATAAATTTACATATTTTTATCAAATTCGAGTGCAACAAATCTTTTTTATATTTTTACTCTTACACTAAACCTGTGTACTTCTTGTTGGAATTGAATATTATAAACGTCGATGATAGCAATACCGACGTATCTATTTTGCAATGGAGATAGGGGATCTTTTTCAAAAATCATTTTTCGCTGTTAAACCCTGCATAAATTTTTTAGTCTCCATTTCTTTAATTTAAAAAAATTTTGGTTGAACAGTTTGAAAAAATGAAAAGTAAATTTTAACCCGTTTAATTTTCGAGTAAATTTACAACCTGATTTTTCGTCGTAATATTTACAACTTTAGGATTACAAAGTTTACGGTGACGTGGCTGTAACTTGAATTGCGTGTTTTTTTACTACTTACACGAAGGCTTGCATCATGTTATCCAGTAAGGCTGGAGCCCTCCCTTCGAATGCGCCATGACCGATAAACTGTAGTAAAGAAAGAAAAGAAAGAACGTATATCTTTATGAATTTTGAATCATGTAAATGTGATTCAACGCCAATATTCATTTTTTTGTAAAATTTAAGAAATTCAATAAAATTCAGGTAAATTAAGCGTGATTCAACGACAATATTCATTTTTGTGTAAAATTTAAGAGATTCAATTAATTTCAGGTAAATTTTTTGTACATTTCGGTGACAAATCTTTACCAAAGTGGTAAAGATTTTCGGTGACGATTTTGTTACTAACTTACATATTTTGAGTGTAATTGAATTTTCATAAGTCAGACCAAAACAGACCTGCGCAATCCAGCAGAGAACATGCAAAACGGCCGCGACCTGCCAAGCGGGGTGTCCCCAGGTCGCCTGCGCGCCGAGATAAAAGCGATGCGCGGTGACCAGACTGACGAAAACTAGAAGAGCGCCAAGGCTTCCGGCCCTGACAAATTTTATATGTTAAATCAATTGAAATTATGTACCTATTTGCATTATATAACTGAAACACAGAGGCAATTCACGCAGTTATTGGTAAAGTTCGTAAAATAATTTTTAAAACTTTTACGAAATAAGAAAACGGCCTTGATCTGAGGATGAGCAAGTTTAGAAAAATGTGTAAGCTAATTTTTCTTTGAAATATTTGTAAAATTTTGTAAAATTTTATGGATTTTATTTGGTTTAAATTTCAGCTTTCAAATGCTCAATCCACATATGCATTTATAACTAAAAAATTGTACTTCTCATCTTCACGTCCTCTTAGAACTATCGATTTTCTAGAATTATCAACATCGGCGTCTGATAATGCAAATCACTGTTAACTCACATTGGGAAATATAATAGAATAAAGCGCATTTGATTTGATGCTAGTAAGATTACAAAAATTTGTGAACTAATTTTCCCTTGAAATACGAATTTTGTAAAATTTTATAAAAGTTTCAAAGTTTATGAATTTTACGGAATTTACAAAGTTACCACCCGACTCGCCAGGTACACTCTTAAAGCAGTCGAAAATAGGTCGGCGGCTACGGCTGACAGTTGGGAATTTTGCCAACTTTCAACCGATTACCAGCCGACGGTATATTTATGCTCGGCATGGAGTTGGTAGCAATGACATAAATTAGATTCTCTGCCGTCGGCGACCCAACTGCGGCACGAGGTGGAGATCAATAGGAGTTGGGTTGAAAATAATATATGGGCACTACAAGACTCCGGGCCGTAGGTGAGCCGACTCTGGGTATTCCACGCCATCTATCCTACATCAGGTTTCCCAGTTGGAACCCGGCATTTTTATACATAACTGGCAGCATGCTATTCATTGATCTCGTCTCCAATTTCTAATTTTAAAATGGACGTTGTAAAAGCCAAAAAATACGCAGTCATTTTATTTCCAGAGGAGGAGAATGCAGTTGATATTATTTCGTCCGTATGGGTTCTCCCATCCATGACCTCAGATCCGATCAAAGTAGAAAAACCTTGTCGATATCCCCCTCCAAAAGTTCGTGGAGCGAAACTTGCAAAATTAGTGAAAGGACATATTCCTCCATCATCAGACTGGCTGGTACTTTCTTGTCGAATATTAGAGGAGTATGGTAATAATCTTGTACAAATTTGCAATATAATTATTGTGTCTAATAATGATTACTCAAATTTCACGGTCTTAATTTCTTATATATTCCATTTTAGATGACTACCTGGAGGCACGAGCAGCTTCTGTAAGGGCTGAAGTAACTTCAAATCTTGAATCCGAAGTGATTGAGGATACGGATGGTCGACGCCAACGTAGAAAACAAAAAGTTAAGGCAAAGCGGACAAACTTAAAGACGGCAATAAAATTCAAGAAGCGAGATGACAGCTCAAGCGAAGAATCAAATACCATTGAAGAAATTAATGAACCTTTGACCACGCCAAAGCTTGTGTTGGTTGGAACTAGCAGCAGGCAAAATCATCACCACCCACGTAATAACTCTTAGTACATTTTTTAGTATAATTATTCATGTCACTAAATTGTAAATAAATAAATTATTTCATCCACCCAGAGAACCAACCAGAGAACACAGCATCAAATGATTTGCTCGATACCACGGGCTTATCTAGTGGCACAATTGAAATTCCATACCATTGTGAATTTGTGGAGTCCAATAATAAATCTTCAACTCAAAACAACACTGCTGAGGCAGCTGCAATCAATCCCGCTGATGCTACACTTTCTCTTATTTCGAACCTCGAAGTGAACCTTAACAGGGACGGACAGCCAACCAACAACACTATTACAGACATCGTAGCTTTGATTAATAAATATCAAGTGGAAAATCGAAGCAAGTGAACCTAAATTTATAAATATACCGAAGTAATTAATTGAGAATTCTTTTGTCTACAGGATTTCAGGAGGTTGTGATCAATAAGTTAATTAATTTAACCAACTTATTGAAGACCACTAGGGTTGGTGCTACCAATAAAAGTATCGTTTCCTTGATTGGAGCACCGTCCCTCCCCCTAACCTCAAAGGAGGATCTAAATTTGATGAATGTGTGGCTCAAAGTTGATAGAAATAGAGAAGCATTAGTAAGTGAGATACTCGAATTCCTTGAAATTTTGCAAATATGAAATTTAATTTAATTAATATGAAATTCTAGGTAAACAACCTCAGTTTGGAAGGAGGGGACAGTGTGTCAGCGGTCACTTCTAGCGTTTTAGCAGAACTTTTCGAAAACAAATTCGCAATTACAGTAAGTTTCACCGGTCTAGGGACCAAAGCTGTGTGTGGAATAAAAGGCTCACCAATATACAAAGTTCTTATTGGTAAGTAAATACAACTATTTTTTAAAAGTATGTACTTACCAAAATTTAGCCTTAAATGACACTTTGATCAATTAGATGCGGTCAGAGGAAATGAAGGGTTCGAGACAGCAACTGTGAATCAAATAAAGGAGGCTACTAAAAATTGGCTGCGTAACGCCAGCGACCGCGGAGGAGGACGTGCGGCACGACAGCGCCGAGACGCAGAATAATGAGCTTCCCATCAATAAGGACCGAACGTCGCCGCCGGCGGTCAGAAACTGCTCACCTTTTAGAATCAATCAGGTGCTCAGATGTAAATACCGTTTACGAAAATGCGAAAGTTGAAGATACCGGCAATAATATTACCACTATTAATGACATAGAATTAGTTAGTTTATCTTCTCCCGCAACTCTAAATCTTAACACTGGTATTACGTTTGAAACTTCTGAATTAGTACAAATAACTGAGGAAAATGACGAAATTAAGTTACCTGAAAATTCAGTAAATTTAACTGATCGACTTAGACTTTGGTCTACCACTCATAACATCACACAAATGTGTTTGGGACAATTAATTCAAATTTTAAATCCACATGTAAATTTTATTTTACCGACTGATCCACGGACACTTATGAAAACTCCGAGATTTGTAAATATAGATAAGGTTAGCGGTGGCGAGTTTGCATATTTTGGAATTAAGACTGGGATAGTACGACGATTAAAACACACCTTGAGTGAATGCAACTTTCCGTTAGTGCAAAAAATGCAAAGTCAATCTAAGTTACCAATACTTTCTATATCGGTCGGAATTGACGGACTTCCAATCAGTAATAGTAATACAAAGTCTTTTTGGCCAATAATAGGCATCTTAGATCAAGTAAAGGAGTCCACCCCCTTCATTATTGAACTGTTTTATGGAAATTCTAAACCAACAGATTCTTTATTTTTGGAAAAATTTGTGAACGATGCGTCAGAGTTAGAAATGTCAGGAATAGTTTATGAAGAACAGAATTATAATTTTAAAATTTCTTGTATTATAGCTGACGCACCAGCGCGTAGTTTTCTGAAAGGCTGTAAACAACACAACAGTTACAATTCGTGCGAAAGATGTGTACAAGAGGGGGAGTGGCTTGGCAGGGTAATTTTTAGAAAAACAGATTGTGTGAAGAGAACTGACAACAGTTTTAGAGAAAAGACCGATTCCGATCATCATACGCATGATAGTGTACTTTTAAAATTAAGAATTGATTTAGTATCTCAAGTTGTCCTTGACCATATGCACTTGGTGTTTTTAGGCATCATGAAAAAATTGCTTTGTGTATGGGTCAAGGGAAAATTACCGCATAGACTTAGTTCCAAACAGGTTTTGACCCTTTCTCAAAAACTTTTAAAATTAAGACCCTTTATTCCACGAGATTTCCAGCGCAAACCTAGAGCCTTATCTGAGTTAGCTCACTATAAAGCTACAGAATATCGTTTGTTTTTATTATATACTGGGATCGTTGTATTAGGGGAGTCACTACAAGAAAACAAATTTAAGAATTTTCTGAAATTGCATGCTTCAATGTTCATTTTATTATCAAACTATGCATGCGATAGGTCGTGGAATGGCGTTGCCAGGTCCCTTCTTATTCAATTTGTTGAGGAACTAGAAGTGTTGTATGGGCCTGAATTCATGATTTATAATATTCATTCACTGGTACACATTGTTGATGATGCTATGAATTATGGGAATTTGTCACAAATCAGCGCATTCCCTTTTGAAAGTTACATGCAAAAAATAAAGAGAATGTTAAAGGGAAAAACTTATCAACTTAACCAAGTAGCTAAGCGTGTCGCAGAAGCGGAAGCAATCCTAGTTGACACTTTGGCCAAGCAGTGTACAGGACTTGTAATGTTTTCAAATTATAAATATGATAATTGTTTTCGCTTAAAGAATGGAAAATTCGTCATTCAGAAAAATTTCGACGGATTCCAGTGTTCTGATTTTTACGAGGTTCAGCCAATTTGTAGATTTATAGAATATCCTTTTAATAGTTTGTTGGTTGGTATATTTATTGCAAAAATTACAGACAATACCTTCAAAGTTAATTCTGATGATATATCTATGAAATGTATATTACTACCTTATAAGAAAAATTACTTATGTTTGCCATTGCTGCATACAATAAAATAAATTTTTGGAAATCTCATTTTTTTTACTTTGTTTCAATCGGCATATATATTTCACCAACCATGTCCCATACTCTTGCCGACCGATTATAGGTGAATATTTCGATTCTATGCCGAGTCAGAAAAGATCCGGCTCGCTGCAGGCAGCCGTTGATGAAAAGAGTGCGGCCGAGCGGCCAAATCGGGCACTTAGCCGATTATTTCTGCCGGACGCTGGCCGCCTGCGGTAAGACTAACTTGGCGAGTCGGGCAAGGCCTGCGTGAATTGCTTCAATTTTTCTTGCATCCTTAACCCTTCATAATTTTAGTAATGCCAAACAATTGTACAATGAAGTCTGCACAATTTACAAAGTTTACGCGATACTCACTTTTTGTCCATCATGATGTAAACCCCGGCATAAAAGAGGGCCGTGATCAGGGTAATATTTGGCGGATGGAGGGGATTTTCCGGAATAAATGGCACCTGCAGCGGTATATATTCCGACAGGACGAAGGCTGACCACAAAATTGGCCACACGCAGCCGATATGGATCAACTTGTTGAGCGTCGAATGGTGGTACGACGCGTAGAAGGTGAACTGAAATCGAAATAAAAATCAGTCAAAAAATAAATTTGTTAAAAATAACAATAAAGTTGTAAATTAGAAAAAATTTGGATTTACGAAATAAAGCGAGGTTCTTTACAACATCAACTTTTCCTTTGTAATCTTCGCAAACTTATAAATTTACTGGGTTACACATGCAGGTCTCCTGCTTAACATGTATAAAGTAATGATCCAATTTTTGTATAGTTTCTATATTTATCTATAACAATTACTTTAATCGGAAAAATTTACTTTCATCAACCAAAAAATTCACTTTGAACCACAAAACTTAATTTAAACCAAACAAATTACTATAATAAAAAAAATACTTGAATCCGTCCGCTACTGTTGAAAATAGAGACTTAGAGATTTTTTGTATTTTTACTTGTACTATACTGTGACTACAGTACAATACAAAAATTAGTACAAAATTCAAAAGACCTAGAGAATTTCCATTATATTGTACTATGAAAAATTGTATTGTAAAACTCCGCGAAATAGATGCGTCAAAAATTGAGACAAATCAACTCATGATATACGAAATGAACCCCCTCCCACAAAGTGTGTATAAAATGTTCAAAACTACAAATTCGACATTTTTGACCTTTGACCTCGTTTACAACAGTCACCAGGCTGATGTAAGTCGAAATGATAGTGATTTATGAACTCCCCGCCTCAAACTAAACACGACTGCAACGGTCCAAATAAAAATTCAACATTTTTGACCTTTGACGTGGTCACGGGGTCTTCGTATGTTAAAACTGTATCGATTTCTGAAATTCTCGCCCAAGCCGAAGTCTAAAACATTCGACACTTAAATTTTGACCTTTGACCTCGTCCTCTCGGTCATGGGTTGGTCGGAGGTCAAAAGTATTGACGACAATGAATTCTCGGTGAAATTTCCTTTAAAATGACACCGCATATGAAAATTAAAGTAGAACTTTGCGTTTACTTCATGCCAAGGTGACCTTGACCTTGACCTCAGGGAGTCCATTTTCGAAATCGACCTAGGGTCAAAAATTAGTAGCGAAATAGCGAAAACGGCGTTAGATTATATTGAAGCGTTCAAGAGATATCCTACTTGCCAACGCTTGATTTTCCACAGTAGTACAAACTGAGCCCGTGTTTCAATTTGTCTACTGTAGACTGTAGAATTAGTACAAAAAGCTGATGACGTCATCATCTAGAGTCCACAGTACAGTCTACAGTCAGAGTACAAGGAATCTCTAACTCTCTAATGTCTAAAAATGGTCAGTGTAACGAAATAAATTGAAAATTTAGCAGAAGTTCGTATTTCCGTAGTGTTAATCTTTAACGTCGATTTAAATACAAACATAATTTCACAATAGAAAGACTTGTGAATTAGATGACAAAGAGATTTTCCTCAAAGGTCTGAATTTATAGAAATTTGTTTTTACTGAAGTTCTTTAAATCAACTAATTTTCCATTGCAATCTTACAAACTTATAAATTTACTGGGTTACGCAGAACTCCTGCTTAACATGTATTAAGTAACGATCCAATTTTTGTCTAATTTTTCTATTTACAAAAATATTTTTAAACTAAAATTCATTTTGTTTTATATGCACTTTAATCCAAAAATTACTTTACGTAACCCTGAATTTTTGGCAATTTTAAAAATTGTGTTGGTCCACCGTGTTACAGTTCAACGTCAATTTAAGTACGAAAATTATTTATCAGTGGAATAAAAAATTATTAGATAGTGACGAAGACGTTCGTCAATCCGGCATTAGAGTAAATTTCAATCGTTAATGTGAAGTAAGTCACTCTCATTTTGGTGAAAAAAATACACATTGTTACACTGTTAGAAATCCGGTATAGTATGGCAAGTATTGATTTCTCGGTATTAAAGTTGCTACCGCTTGGTATTCAAATTTTACCGGTAAAAGTTGCTACCGATATGATATTCTAATTCATAATAATGCTTTTCATGTAACGATCCAATTTTTGTCCATGTTTTTTTTTATTCTAAAAAATATTTTTAATCAAACAATTTATGTTAATCTAAAAAACTTGCTTTAATCTTGTTGTAATTTTGAAATTTTTAAAAAATTGTGTCGGGCAACCGTATGAAAATTCAGCAGAAATTGATATGTTTAAATAAATTTCTGCTGTTAGCTTAAAAATCTTTCTAAATGTTAAACTTTAACGTCAATTTAACAATGAATAATATTTTAGCAAAATAAAGAGTGATTAGATGACGCTGTGGTCTCCTTAATTGACACTATAGCAAATTGAAACAATTAATTTGCAGTAATTCACGCACATTTTTGGTGAGAATTGTTTATATTATTTTTCAGATTGTTGCAAAATACGCCAAGAGGCACTTCCTAAGTTTAAAATAGGTTTGTGTTCCGACTTTCCTTCGTAAACTTTGCTATTTACTTAATAAAGCATGAAATTCATTACATTACGTGACAAGTCAAAATTAGTTGGTAACAAATCATTACCGCTTCAAATAAAATGGCAAAGATTTTAACCTTTTGAGGGGTAGTTTATGATCACTTTTTAAAATAAAAATATAGATGGGAACTTATTTTCGAAATTTTATAAAAGACTTGAGAGACGTGAGTCTGAAAAATTTTTAAATTATATGTATACAGTAAAGTTTTGTAAAAATGGAAACTAATTTCCCACTTGTGACGAATTTATTAGGAAAAAAATTATATTTTCTTAATTTTCGAAAAACTTTTGTTATACTTTAAGACCGATGTGGGTTTATTTAGACTTAATTTGATCTTATCAAGTATTTAGATTTTGTGCCATGTTCTTGCTAATTTTTTACACGATATTTTTTTTTGCGGATAGAGAGAGGGCAGATTTCTGTGAAGTGTTGAAAAATTGAAGGAGGAAATTATGATGTTACTTCTTAAAATAAAAATATGGATGGGAACTTATTTTCGAAATTTTATGAAAGACTTGAGAAATGTGAGTCTCAAAAATATTAAAATTCTACGTATGCAGTAAAATTGTGTAAAAATGGAAACTTGTGACGAATTTATTAGGAAAAAAATTTATATTTTCTTAGTTTGCGTAAAACTATTTTGTTATACTTTGAGACCGATGTGGGTTTATTTAAATTAAATTTGATCTTATGAACTATTTAGATTTTGTGCCATGCTCCTGCTAATTCTTTAAAAAATATTTTTTTGTGGGGCAAGATTTCTGTGAACTGTTGAAAAATTGAAGGAGGAAATTATGATGTTACTTTTTAAAATAAAAATATGGATGGGAACTTATTTGCGAAATTTTATGAAAGACTTGAGAAATGTGAGTCTCAAAAATTTTTAAATTCTTTCTGGGTATGAAATAAATTTTGGTAAAAATGAGAACTCATTTTCCCATTTATAAAGTTATTAGGAATAAGTTTATATTTTCTTTTGCAAAAAATTAACATATTGTTATATTCTCCGCGAAACGGAAATTTGACATCTTCGGGTTAGAAATTGATTAACACGTGGTAACGATTTTATTACCAACTTTATTTTGAGTTTATATATCGGCAACAAAATCCCGGAGTGAAGGTACATACACGCTTCATTCGAACACGCTGAATTCACGCCAAGTTTGTAACTTCGTAAAATTACGAAATTTAGCAGCATGATAAATTTGAGGATGAAGTTTTTATAAAATTGTTAACTCCAGTGTTTGGCAATCGATAAATTTTGAAAATTAGTTTACCAGCTTTCGTACAAATTAGTTAAAATTTGAACTACTCCCACTTTAAAACAAAGAAATCTGAATAAACCGATTTTGCAGTCAACTAATCAAAAAACTCTATATCAACGTTTTACCCATTCAAATATTGAATTAATAATAGAAAAAACTGATAAATTATAGTATGATTTATGAACGACATAATTTAAACAGCTAATAAATATTCTTTACACTTACTACTTAATTAATTGATATGCATCGAGTAGTAACTTGGTAAAATCGATGAATTACAATCCGAAAAATTTTAAAAGATTGGGAAGGAACGTGAGACTAAAATTTCATGATTAATTTACATACATCGAGTATATTTTTTTGGTTTGCAACTTTGTTAAAGCTTGCTCCCCTCAGTATTAAATAAACTTTTTCAAGTAATAATTAGCTAATTAAAAGGTGAGAGGTTTGGAAAGGGATATTGTTTTAATAAAATATTTTTTTGTAAAATAGGTACTCAAAACAATTTTAAACCTCGCATCTCTACTTTTATAAAAGTCTCAAAGTTTGCACGGTTACAAAACTTTACGTGTTTTATTTAATGCCTACTCTTCCAAACCTGTGTAACCTTTTCAAGTAAATAAGCTAATTAAAAGGTGCACAACAGAGGATCGTGTTTTCATAAAGCGTATAAAACCTTGCATCTTCATTTCTAATTTTGTAAAATTTTCATAACTTACACGGTTACAAAACTTTAAATACCTGCTCTTCCAAATCTGTGATTCCCATTTTTCCTGTTCCCGTAAACACACCAACAAATTCCTGTCCAGTAAGTAAATTCCTCTCTCTGCACGACTTGCTTCTCGACTACCTGACTATTAAACTATATACAATTTAATAAAAATGATTTCATCCACTGACCAAAAGTCAACAACTATTAAGATAACTACACATTTAACTCTTCAATTAAATAAATTTGGGTTCGTGACTTTAACTATCGTTTGGACAAATGTCGATCGATACATAAATCTGAGGATGAAATCCACTCGAGATTATTTTCACTGGTCACACGGCTGATCAGGCAGGCAATTCATACGTAGCAAAATATTTAGCATGGTTGAGTTATAAAATAATACCCAACCAGTTTTTTACCGCATGGTGGTGGAGATAGATATGGTCAATTTTGTTGAATATGTTGGGAACAATGCGTAAAGGATGTGATGGATTTTCAGGAAATTTTGAAAACCAAAATTTTAATTGAAATGGAAACGTCACGTTGTTTTAACGTGTAAATGTGAGCTTCTTCAAAGTGATAACATGCTTTCTGCACGGCCTTTTGTGACGTAACATTGAATGCAATACATTTCTGGCAGTGCACGTGTACGTAAATAAATGTCTACTGAAAGCATGAACATGAAAAATGTGTGACATTTACATTGACATTTAACTGTGTGACATTTAATATAAAGCAATTCACGCAGTCACATTGGTAAGTTTGTAAAATATGTAAATTTTGTAAAAATAATTTACAAACTTTTACAAAATAAAGCGACGCCATTGATTTGACAATGAGAAGTTTACAAAAATTTGGAAGCTAATTTTCCTTAGAAGTATTTATAACATTTTGGAGAATTTTGTAAGTTATGTAATTTCTTAAATTTTACAAAGTTGCCAAGGCCTGCGTGAATTGCCTTAAGTGCCCTAAAAACCACAATTGTCCATTCATATCTGTTTCGTTCTGCGTTTAGGATGGTTACATTTGTACCTTACAAATGACAGTCAAATATTGACTTGACAAATTTTAGAGATGTTGACTACAATATTATTATTAATAACACGTTCTTAGGAAATTTCAAAATTTCAAAATTTTCCTGGTTGGATTAGTAGATTTTAATCATTATATCGGTCACTAGTTAGATTAGAACCAATGTATTTATTTATCTTTACTTCATCGTCATAACCATTTGTTCAGTATATCTAATTTTGTAAAAAAAATTTGGAAATTTTAGAAAAATTAGTTCTTAGGAATGATAATCCCGATAACTATCTACTTAACCATACACGAATACTTTATGTTTTATACAAATATTTATGAAATTTTCATAAATGACGAGTTAGATGTACAAATTTTTACCCATGTCCAGCTTACAACTTCTTTAGAATTATCTACTGATGTAATTCACGTCAAACTTTGTAAATTCGTAACCACGTAAAATTACGAAACTTACGAACTTTTGATGAAACTTGGGAACATCTCGAAGGCAATTTTTGCTTACGAACTTACAAAACCTTACGAAGATGAAAGGCATGTTTTTCGTTCGTAAACTGACCTTCGTAAGTTTACGAGGTTACGGACTTATAAAGGTTGGAGTGAATTGGCTCACTTTTTAATTTTTAGACGAACTATTTATTAGTCTGTGGGCGAAAAGAGACAATTTAATTTTTTGTAAACAAAGTAATCGTCAGATCATTTCAGTAGCCAATTTAGGGAAATTTTGCGAAATTTTAACCATGCCAGATTTTACAATGGCTGATGATATTTTCTTAGAAAGCGACTTAATTACTTGTACAGATTCATTTTACATTTTAAAAGTTACAACAAAAATAAAATTTTCCATAAAAGTCAGGAGGAAACGTATCAAATTTTCGATATCTTTTTAGATATTTTTTGTAAGTAATAATGTTTAATATTTTTTTAGTGGCGAGTTACTTTTGCAGATTTATTTTCAAAAACCTGGATTATAAATTATGTATGAGTTTGTGTGAGAACTTGCCAATTTGTTTGTAAAATAAAGCATGTATTTGAATGTACGAATACATTATAATAAAATAAAACATTGTTTTCCCAGAAAATGCATTAATTTGGTGATGAATGGATGTTTTGTAATTTTGTAAATAATCTGAATTTCACAAAATTTTACAAAAAATGGCTAAATACGTACATAATTACGTTAAAATGCTATCTTAGAAATAAACTAAAAAACTTAATAATTTGTGTATTTATCCTATAAATATTTATTTCATGTAATTAAATGTAACGTGCCACAATATTGTAAACATAAGAAATTGCGACAATTCACGCAGTCTTTAGTAACTTTGTAACTTTGTATGTTACACAATTTTACACAATAAAACGACGCCCTTGATCCGAATTAGTTTACAAAAATTTGTACACTAATTATCCTTAGAAATATTTTTGTAAAAGCTTATAAGTTTACTGAATTTATAGGTTTTACACGGTTACCAAACCCTACGTGAATTATCTCATTGCTCACAGATAATATTGTTTCAAACCAAATTTTATTTCATGCCAAATTATCATTCGTCCTCAATATGGAAACCCTGCCTTAAAAACCCACAAATTTCCAATTATCCAAACCACCCCCAATCCAAAAAAGAAAATCATATCCAAAATATTCCCTATTTTTAGTCTCCTCTCTAAATTACCCTCCTTATCCGAACTCTTTTTTCCAAACAAATTCATTCCCTCATAAATATTCGCGGTGACGAGATTTCCAACAAACGCGGTCAAAATGACCCCCAGTGAAAACAGGATGTACTTCACAATCATCGGAAGCACGAGGCTGGTCGGTGGTAGGGTTTCCATAACGCGGTAAAATATAAGCAGGACGCCCATCCCGGAAATGGTCACGAGCAGTGATCTCATCTCCCTATTTTTTGAGGGAAGAAGACACGTCAGGATGGACAGACAGGTTAACACGTTGAGAGAAAGGACCAGCCAAAGGGCGGGACTTAGTCCCCCGCTGCGTCGTCTAAGGGTCACGTAAAAGGTGGCGTCCTGCTCCAGATAGGGCCCATCGGTGTACTGGTTGAGATACGCGGGGGCTTCGATAACGTCGAAGTAGACTTTAAAATAAAATTGAGAGATTATTTGTAAGGACTTTAAACCATAAGGAGTGCGCATGTAAATTTGGAAGATCACGCAGGCTTTGGTAACTTTATAAAATCCGTAAACTTACAAAATTGTACAAATATTTCTGAGGAGAATTAGTTCCCAAATTTTTGTAAACTTACTCAGATCAAGGGCTTCTCTTCATTTTGTAAAACTATTTTACCCAAAAAAAAACCCACAGATTTTACAAAGTTCCCAAGGACTGCGTGAGTTGCTTCAGTCAGTATCCGGGTAAAATTTTGTCTCATCTATCCGAACCGAATTCGGCTGAACATAACTGAATATAATGATTCGGATTCCGTTTTAATATGCAATTTACCCGAAATTTAACCGGCTCAACTCTGGAGTGACGCATACATAATTTGATAATGATTCATCACAATTTCTTTTACCTGATAAATACATCTCACTCAGATCGGCCGAACGGTCCTTGTTATGAAGCGAGAATTGGAGCTGGTTTCCATTGTAGTCAAGCGACAAAAATTTGAGTACGCAGATCTGCTGGTCCCACGGGTAGTAGGTCACGTCAATCGTACAGTGAGACTGATATGGAGAGCAAAAAATTATAAATCTCAATTAAATACACACGTGTCATGAATAAAATTTGCGCCTGATTTTAAATTGTCGTGGTCATTCAGACCTTGGACAAGCACCAAAAACACAAGGCAGTTATACCACTGAATTGTTTTTTACCTGATTGTAAACCAAAATAATGCTTAATATGTTACTTTAAAAAGTAAATACGGCGTCTAATTCTCACATAAAAAATAATTATGCAATAATTCACGCAGTTATTGGTAACTTGTAAAATTGGTAATTTTTCTAACATAATTTTACAAAATAAAATGACGCCCTTGACCTGAGTAAGTCTACACAAATTTGTGAGCTAATTTTCCTTGGAAATATTTGTAAAATTTTATAAGTTTACAGAATTTTTGGGGTTTACAAAGTTACATACAAGGCCTGCCTGTATTGCATCAATGTTTTACCTTGTCGAAAACTAACTTTGGCCACCCAAATTCCAAATGTATCTGTTACCTTAAGGTGGACTTGAGGACACCAGTCCGCCGTTCCGAGGGAAGAAACCGTCACCAAGGAAGTTTTCTTGGCCTTCTCCATATTTGTGTTGAAACCCGCCTCATAACTGTTTGCCAGCGCGATGTTTGGCGTCCAGATGTGGGTCGGAGCTATGTTTACGGTCGTGACATCGCTACCTTGTCCATGGCGTGGCGTGGACACGTCCGGTTGCCATTGTAACCTTGAATCGTTCCAGAACTGTTAAGAAAATTATGAAACGTATTTATTGCTGAGCTCAGATTCCTTGCGATATATTTTTTTTATTTTAAGAGTGAAGATCCAAGAAAAATGAGGTTCAAATGGTTCATAAACTTTAAGAAATTGAACGACTTTTGATTATTTTGTCTAGACTTCGGCGTCTGTATTTGTTTTTGAGAAATCAAGTTAATTTAATCAGTTAATAAGATAAGTAACATCTTCCTTTGTGGTATTTCATATGACAACGGAGGTCTCCCAGTGTATGCTCTAGACCGATTTTGACCAAAGTAGTGTAAATCGATCACAAATTTAATTAGTGGGAAATTTGCAAAAGACACGATATCCCAGTGGGCACGTTTGACAGATATAGAGGAGAATTTGGCAGAGGAGAAAGGACGACAAATTGTACACTTTCCAAATTTACTGCCATTTTCTCCTCTTTGGATGCAAATATCTGCGCTAAACGTGCCCATGGGGGAATCGTGTCTTTTGCAAATTTTGTACTAATTAAATTTGTCATCGATTGACACTAATTTGATCCAAAATCGGAGAGGGTACGCTGTGAGACCTCCGTTGTTAGTTTATTCTGAATCACAAAAAATCACTAAATAAACACTTACCATGCAAAAATACGCACTGAGACTGAAAGTCTGCTGGGCCAAATTCTGCAAAATATTGAACATTTCAAAGTTAACCACATACTTTGGCAAAATAAAATAATAAATAGAATCGATTTTGCTACTCCATTTTTTAAAAAGAAAATCTAAACGAACTATCAACATTTTTAAATATTTAGAAGTGAAATGAATATTGTTTTAGCCAATTTTGAATGAAGATCTATCTTCTTACGAGTTCATTTATGGTTGATAATTTGAGTGCAATGTCCACCATGACGGGTTCCTGCGTGAAATTATGGGCACTACCTTTACGCCCCGTGGGTGGCAGCATGTCCAACTTGTAGCCATTTTCGGTACTGTCGCCAATCAATTTTTTAATATAGTCTTCTTCAACGCTGGCTGAAATAGAAATTATTTTCTCCATTTGTAACATAAAAAGTTGGCAAATTAACAAAATTGTGGCAATTCAAGCAGTAACTTGCAAAATTCGCACGTGCGAGACGATAGGTTGGCAAAGAAGGAAAGAGTAAGAAAAAATGACAATTTCTACTGTTCATCCGAGAAAAATTTGGCCTTCGCCCAGCCAACTTTCTCTAAAAGGTTAGCTAGCAGCTATCATAATTTTAAGGAATAGCAACTTTTGAATTTTGACACTGAAATAAATTTCTGTAATTGATAAAATAATTAAAATAAACAAATTCCGCCAGGTAACCTTTTAGAATTTCTAGGGCCACATTTTTTTCGAATGAACAGTACTGTCAGCAGGCAAGTAAAAGTCAGGCGTAAAAGGAGATGGGCGATCCATGAAAAGGTCACCCAGATAGCACGTAAAAACAATTCAAACTTTGCCAGTATTTAGAAAAAAAATAATAGAAAATTATTTTTCCCATAAAATTTTTCGATATCTGACCTATGTGACCTGTTATTAAGGGGTAAAACTCATTAATTTTTATACGTTTGTTTGCTTGATAAGTTGAAAACGATTTAGTCGAATTTAAGGAGGGATCGGGTTTATTGTGCTGGGAATTGAAAGTTGACAACGTGTACCATATGGGTGTCAATTTTTTAAAAACTACATCACCAATTCACCACAAACATTGCAGAAAACAAGGGATTTCGGTGGAACTAGATTTCGGGCTGGCGGAGGAGAAGAGGCGTGATTTGGCGATCGCGCCGCGCAAGGCTACAATAATAAAATATTATTTAACACCAGTTTATTTCTATTTTGACGTAAAAGTCATTCAATTTTGTATAAGTTGTACGTCAAAACAAAAATAAAGTGGTGTTAAATAATATTTAGTGTAGCCCTCCGCGTTCCCAACCAAATAACCTTGCTTCCTCCGCCAGCCCGAAATCTAGTTCCACCGAAATCCCTTGTTTTCTGCATTGTTTGTAGTGACTGAGTTTAAAAAATTGGCACACATATTGTACACATTGTCAACTTTCAATTCCCAGCGGAATAAACCCGACCCCTCACTGGATTAAGGTACTAATTTTTTTGTTACGTGCTGTGTGGGTGACCTTTTCATGGATCGCCCATCTCCTTTTACGCCTGACTTTTACTTGCCTGCTGACAGTACTGTTCATTCGAAAAAAATGTGGCCCTAGAAATTCTAAAAGGTTACCTGGCGGAATTTGTTTATTTTAATTATTTTATCAATTACAGAAATTTATTTCAGTGTCAAAATTCAAAAGTTGCTATTCCTTAAAATTATGATAGCTGCTAGCTAACCTTTTAGAGAAAGTTGGCTGGGCGAAGGCCAAATTTTTCTCGGATGAACAGTAGAAATTGTCATTTTTTCTTACTCTTTCCTTCTTTGCCAACCTATCGTCTCGCACGTGCGAATTTTGCAAGTTACTGCTTGAATTGCCACAATTTTGTTAATTTGCCAACTTTTTATGTTACAAATGGAGAAAATAATTTCTATTTCAGCCAGCGTTGAAGAAGACTATATTAAAAAATTGATTGGCGACAGTACCGAAAATGGCTACAAGTTGGACATGCTGCCACCCACGGGGCGTAAAGGTAGTGCCCATAATTTCACGCAGGAACCCGTCATGGTGGACATTGCACTCAAATTATCAACCATAAATGAACTCGTAAGAAGATAGATCTTCATTCAAAATTGGCTAAAACAATATTCATTTCACTTCTAAATATTTAAAAATGTTGATAGTTCGTTTAGATTTTCTTTTTAAAAAATGGAGTAGCAAAATCGATTCTATTTATTATTTTATTTTGCCAAAGTATGTGGTTAACTTTGAAATGTTCAATATTTTGCAGAATTTGGCCCAGCAGACTTTCAGTCTCAGTGCGTATTTTTGCATGGTAAGTGTTTATTTAGTGATTTTTTGTGATTCAGAATAAACTAACAACGGAGGTCTCACAGCGTACCCTCTCCGACCAGTTTTACATATAGATTTCAAGACTTGGTATCTATCTATGGCTAGTTTACTAAAAGTTAAATTTGCTAATTTTTACATACTATTCTCACAATAAATATAACAAATATTAAAGTTATTCACGCAGTCCTTTATAACTCGTAAAATTGATAAAATCCGTAAACTTACAAACTCTCATAAGTTTTACGTACAAATATTTCTGAGGGAAATTGGTTTACAAAGTTTTGTAAACTTGCTCAGATGTCTTCCTATTTAGCAAAAATTTGTAAAATTATTTAAAATTTACGAATTTTACAAAGTTACCAAGCACAGCGTGAATTGCTTCATTATTTCTTGAGCTTTCATTTTGCTTGCCAAAAGCTTTTAATTTCTAAGAAATCATTTCTAACTTTGCTTAAAAACTTTTTTGTAGCAAATTACGAAAATTATATTAAACTTCATCGTCATGTGGTGGTTAGAATTCAAAATTTTAAATTGCCATTGTGCTATATTTAATTAGCCAATTAAAAAATCGAATTGGGAGCTGCATATGAGGATGAAATAAAGTATTTAAAAATCTGTAAATTTACGCAAATTAACTAAAAATTGTATCAAAAAATTGTTTTTTTGTTACCTAAACCTCCCGAGATCCAAACTTGGAGAATAATACATAATATTGAAAATTTATGCATATCTAACCCTTTTAGGAAATACTTATATTTCGTAGTGGAAAATTTTTTTAGTGGATTTTTATACTTTACAATTTATTCAATGTCAAGCCAAGTTCGGCACGAGGTGCAGTGCAACCACTTTCAGGTCAAGTGGTAAACTGGATCAATGAATGAATTTACTTATTAGAAGATTGGACTAAATTGGGCTCACTTTATTAATCTAGCCTTGTTCACAGCAAAAAAAATACTTAAAAAATTCGCATAAGATTATCTTTCAGTAAACACGAGACGGCATTTGTTGATGATTTAGTGTATCATGGTTGGTATTCGCTATATTTACACTCTAAGAAACCCGGTAACTAAGTTATTACCAGGCGGAGTATCTATGGGACTCTACCGCATAGTAATTAATTTATTATTGAGTAGTAGAAAATTAGTTACTAATATTTTCAAATTTCGCGACCAGGGTTATTGTATTTTTGTATTTTGTATTTTTTTGTATTTTTATTTAAATCCAGGGTTATTACCGGTTTTTTAGCAAAATGTCTACCACTCAATAAGAAATTAATTACCATGCGGTAGAGTCACATAGATACTCCGTCTGGTAATAACTTAGTTACCGAGTTTCTTAGAGTGTAGTACACTCAAAATACCGTTTAACAAATCGTTATCTTCTTGCAGAACCACTCTACTCCATGGAATATAATTTGTCACCACATGCACTTTTAGGCAACTGGTATTGAATCATTGCAAATTATTACCCGACGGAGTATGTACATATATGACTCTGCCGGAATCGGTAATATCGATCGTTACGGCATAGTTGTTGTGGTAATGAAATCGCTACCACTCAGAATCAAACTGTAACCAATCAAGTAAGGAATTATTACCAAATCAATACCAGTACGGGGTACATATGTGACTCTACCGGATGCTTTACAAGTGTGGAAACAGTAATATCCGCGAAATTCTTATTCATTACCCTTACTCAATCGTAACTAATTTATTTACCAATTTACGTGCCATTTTTTGCTACATAAATTTTGGTAGAAAATGAATTTGATATTTTTTTTCAATTCGATAATTTCGAAGTGCCAAAAATTAACTGGAGATTAAAGTATGAAAAGTCGCATTTATTTCAAAACTCGTAAAATTTATGCAACTTTAGAAATTTTAAGTAAATTAAGCAGGGGTGGAGTGAGATTACAAATCCATGACACATCCTATGCAACCTTAAGATTTAGGAAATATTTTAATTGTTGCTTTATTTTTAATCCGTTAAAATTATTTGGTAAAAAAGGTAGAGTTGTATATGTATATAACTTCGAAATTTGAAGAAAGCAATACACAATTTTTACTTGGATTTCTTCACAATTATAACTTTATTTAACAAAATTTTTAATATTAGATATTTTATTGATTGATCACGTCCTCCCGAACGCGCAACAAATTAATCCTGCGTCGCAAGTCGCTCGCGGAAATGTGAGCGCTTCACTAACACAATTGTTCAGACATTTCATTATCGGTAGCTTTTCTCCAAGCCAGGTACAAGATTCACCATTCGCTTGCGATTCTAAAAAAAAAAAACCGTAGTAACGTTAGAAGTAGCTCACCCTGTCATGATGATTAGACAGAACTTTGCACCGAACGTGCGGAATAAGCCGGCAAAATAGATCATAACTCGTATATATGCTTGCACCCATGGTGCAACAAAAACGGCTAGCCGTTGCACCATTACTGCAGCATTAGCGACTATCCGGGCTACATAATTTTGAAACCTTTGTCAAAATTGTATGACCATTTTTCCCTGATATTTTGCACTATTGGTGCGTTTTGCATCCCCCTTCCCAATTATTTCGCATCATTTTGTGTTACCGATTGTTAGATGTCAACGGTGCTATTAATTTATTAAAAAATTCGATTCGGTTTGTTCAATACCAATGGTGCGCCAGTCAAGGGGATTTTTAAATAGCATCAATTGATGCAAAAAACTCGTTAACAGACGGACAGACAGACAGACAGACAGACGGACAGACCGTAGTAACGTTAGAAGTAGCTCACTCTGTCATAATGATTTCCATATAACTTTCCACCAAAGGTACGGAATAAGGCGACAAAATAGATTATAACTCTCATAGATTATTGCACCAATGGTGTAATATAAACGGAAAAATAAAAAAAAACGAAAATAGTTTGCACCACTAGTGGAACATTAGCGACAAACGGGATACATAATTTTGAAAACTTTGAAAAAATTGTATGGTTCCTTATCCCGACATTCTGCATCATTGGTGCGTATGGCATCCCTTTCCCAATTATTTATTATAAAATTTATATATTTTAGCGTCAATGGTGCAGAAAAATCGAACAAATAGAACAGATTTTTGGGGGAACTAGATGGTCCAATTGTTACGCCTCATTGATTTTTGGGGTAAATAAAGGGCCCAATTGTTACGCATCATTTTTAATAACCAATTGCTCGGTACTAATGGTGCTACTTATTCCATAATTATAGTCCTATCTCGATGAACTTGCACAATTAATTCGCACCATTTACGCCACGGATTATTCGATACCAATGGTGCGCCGAACTTATCCAATAATGGTCAAGGGGATTTTTAAATAGCATCAATTGATGCAAAAAACTCGTTAACAGACGGACAGACAGACGGACAAGAGGAATTCAATAGCTCTCATGCTACGCAGGGTGAGCTAATAAATACGTAAATGCAAATTGGTATCAAAATTTAGTTTTTGAAGAAATTCACGCCGGCCTTAGTAACTTTATAAATTCCGTAAATTCTCCAAACTTACAACTTTTACAAAATTTGACATATATTTCTGAGGAAAATTAGCTTGCAAGTTTTTGTAAACTTACTCAGATCAAGGGCTTCTTTTTATTTTCTAAAAAGTTTGTAAAATTATTTTACAAAACCTACAAATTTTACAAAGTTATCAAGGACTGCGTGAATTTTCTCTTCAAATTAAAATGTTTAAAAATCCATAAAAAATTGCGTCCTTGTTAAAGAAATTACCTGTTGGTCGAGCAAATAAATTAATGGAGAAGATGATATAAACTACAAAAATTAGCAAATCGTATTTCTTTCGCATTTTGATATGGATAAAAACTTGCAAAAAATCAATATTAATTTTTATTTAGCACTTTCTCCTCAATTTTAACAAATCTGCTGTAAAAATTGATTTGTATAAATTCTTTTATACAAAAATATTACGGATGCTTCATGACGCATTTACATGTTGTTGTCGGCATTGGGATTATTTTGAAGGCTTATTTTTTATCATTATATGTACGCCTGACTTTGAACTTACATAAGTTCAACCAGACTTGATACATGCATTCATAAAGAGAATATTTATTTATTCAATTTAATTATTTAGCAAATGTCGGAAGTACAATTTTGGAATATAAATAATTCATAAATTCAGCAATTTGCTATTTAAATCTTTGAAAAAAATGCACCTTTTGTCTGAGTGATACCTTTTGAAAGCGGAAATTTGTTTCTGAATTTTTGATAAGGTTGAATACCCCAAGCTGTCATACAGTTGGTAATGATAAACAAGAAAAACATGTACCGAAAATGCCGTATGTATGAAAAGATGACTAAAAACATTACGTCATGAATAACAATTTTTGCACAAAATAAGTTTGGATGACGCAATTCAGCTTAAACTGCGTAATTTCATTTATTCGCGACGGAAAATGATTGCATAAATAATATTTTAGTATTTTTAGTCTTATGGAGCTTATCCGTCTCAAATTTTGACTTCAACCGGAAAATTCGGATTCGGTTCGGATGTGTATTTTCTTAACCGTAAATTCGGATTGGGATGGTTCAGAAAAAGTCAACTCTGCTTACAGTGCCTCCGTTTCCGACCAAAAATAGGACCTCCCGACTTCCAGAAGTTGCATTCGATTTTTTTAAATTGATGTAATTTGAAAAATTTAGCAATTTTCTTATTTTTACATCCCCGTACAAGACTCAATAATAAATATTAAAATTCAGTAACAAATTATGTAACTTGCGTGTATATTAGATACATATGTTTACCCTTTGTTTAAAATTTATAGTTATCAAACCCATCCGGCCCAACATACATACCGAAATGTTTACAGCTTCCTGGTAAAGTTATGCAACGTTTTTTTGTCAATTGGACGGTAATTCGACGCTTGGAACTTGTCTCGTGCCGTGTCAGGAATTATTTTCAAATGTGCGCCATATGATGTCTATTTAATGCATATTTATGCAAATCATTTTATTCCATTTTAGTTTTTAAAAATTCATATTTTCGAAATAAAGGGTTCAACTTGAAAAACAACTGCACATTTCTGACCAGCATGACAGACAAATTGGACATTTATGAGAATTTGAACTTGTCATATTTGTCACAAATTTTAAATGTCTGACAAATTTGACATTTCTGACATGTCAATATGCCAATTTGCCAATGACATATCATGACGGCACATCCCTACACACTGCGAGCAAGATTTTCTTTAAATCTATTTTAACTAAATGTATTAAACCAATGCTCAATATTTTTTAATGGCGAAATACTTTTATTTTTATTTTTTAAAAGCTGGATTAAATTGTTTTTAATGAACTATAAGTTTCCGATAAAAACTTGCCAGTTTGTCTGAAAAAAAATATTTGTAATAATTTTGATTTTAGACTCTTTTATTATATACAATTAATCCCCCTCAAAAAAGCTCCTTAATTAACAGGAATTTTAACCCCATCTTCAATAAAATGATGATACGGTTTGTTATTCCCTTCAAATTTAAAATGTCCTTTTTTCGTCAATTCTGCCATGGCGACTTGCTCGTCATACCCGTAATCGTACGTGCACCTGGAACCGGCACAGCTCATATGGGCGCAGCAATCGTACTCCACTTTGCACGCCACACCCCACGCGGCACAAGCCCCGGATCCAATATCGACGTAATCCATGCGGGTATTTTCCCGGATGTAGGAGCACTTTCCTTCCTTCGCCTTCCAGTAGTATTTAGCTGCCGCCCGGCATTTGCGATATTTGAAGTGACTTGAAACCCCCGCTTCCTGTGCGGAACAACAATCTTCCAAGGTTTTGCAGGGTTCTTGCTCTTTTCGACAGGGCTAAAAAATAAATCAAAATATCTTGAGAATTTTTTTTGTTAAATTTTGTATTTCAAAAATTTAAAATTTTCCAAAGTGTGAACCACCAGTAAAAAATGGGGTATTCATTGCGAGTTAGCATCGTTGGGTAAAAATAAAGTTCTCAGACAAATCTGAATTTTGAATGAATGTTGAATTTTGGGTTGGAAATTCATTTGCGAACTTACCCAAGCCTGAGTGTATTCATTACGAGTTCGTATGTTCGTAACATTATGTTCGTAACAGAATTTTGAAAAAAAAATTGCAAACTAAATACTAGCCTTGGATTCGCACACGTTCGCTGATGAATTTTCCAGCTAAAATCTTTGCGAACTCGTAATGAATACCCTCGATATTTAGGTCGCAAAATTTTCTTCAAAATTATGCTGCGATACGATCATGCTTCGTAATGAATACTTCCAATTTTCTCTAGGTCCGAACATTTTACAGAGTTCTATAATTATAATAAATTTTCTAGATCTGGAGTAAGATAATTTTTTTGCCTAATTTTTGAGGTAAGAAATTCAGAAAATTTTTCGAGTAAATCATGCAATATGTACTACCTTTGCAAATTGCGTTACATTTTCGGCTGTTGAGGACGAAATTGATAAAATTAGTAAGATAACGATGGAGTGGAAGGGTGACGACATTTCTTTCGCTTACTTTGTGTTCTGACAAATGAATGAAATTAGTTGAACGGTTCAATAATATGAATGAATTTGCTTAGATTGCGCACTTCCGGACAACAATGGACAATTAAATATGTAGTTTCGGTTTAGTATTATCGGAAAATATTGGTTTTTCTTAGTGAGGCAAATACCTAACAACGAAAAAAATTACTAAGTATGAATTTGACCCACCCCAAAAAAGTGACCATCTGCGATATCTCAGTCATTTCTCAACCGATTTTGATGAAATTTTGCACCGATTATTGTTGCATAATATAGAAATGGGATCTGATCCGACTAAGCGATTACGTGATCTTGACCGGAATTATGGGCAAAAATGTAGCCTTAGAAACACATTTGTAATTATTGCTAGTTACTAGCAAACGTTATCAACAGTTTGATACCCACGAATTGTAGGGCAGTTTATCCCGAAAATTTAAAGCATAAATATATCAAAATCTGTTAAGAATTGGCTTAGTTATTCCAATTTGAAGCTCAGAAATTCCTGCTCGTGCTACGAATCATTGCCATTGACAACGACGCAAGACTAATAAATTGAAAACAAATTACATTCAAAACTGTAAACAGCACAACTAGTCGTTTCTGTAACATGCTTGGTAAACTGCGTGAAATTGTTGTTGTTGGGTTTGCACCTCCAGATCAGGTGTTTAGTAATCTAGGCCGGACATTTTGACCAAAATGATATAAATCGGTTAAGAAATAACGGATTTATTCAATTTTAAACACCCAGCATTTAATAAAATTATTCCGCATCAAACTACTGAAAAGGGGTAGTGCAATGCAGTTATCCAATGGGCAATCTAATTACCCAATTAAAAGTTATAAATAAACAAGGTCCCTAAAAAGGGGAAATCTTAGTGAGGGAGTGCAATCACAACTAATAAATAAAATTAGATTGGAGAATTTTTGCATCACCGCTCTCGGTACCATTTTTACTGGAAGAATTAATCGTTTAAATAGAACACTTGCTCCCTCAAAAGGTTCGATGATTTTGCATAGAGTAGCCAAATTAATATATGAAATTGAAATTTGTATATTTTTTTAAACAAATACGTAGCTCATAATTATTTAGTCATTATATCTTACATATCTACCTCAGTTAATTTAACCCACTTCTCGTTCACTACACAGTAAAAATGTATTTCTTCCTCAATTTATTCAATTAAACTAACAATTCATGCATATGCAAAGAAAAATTTATACTGCATCCAGTAAAAATAGTATCGAGAGCGGTGATGCAAAAATTCTCCAATCTAATTTTATTTATTAGTTGTGATTGCACTCCTTCACTAAGATTTCCCCTTTTTAGGGACCTTGTTTATTTAAATTTTTTGTTAATTTTTATGTAATTTTAATTTATTTTTGTAACCAAAACAATTGTAAGCTAATTTTCCTTAGAAATGTAGAATTTTGTAAAATTTTGCAGTAAAAGTTTACAGAGTTTACGGATTTTACAATGTTACCAAGGCTTGCGTGAATTGCCTGGTTAAAATCAACCACTGTCCATTTTGAACGAAAATTTTCCCCGATGAAGACCTCAAAAAATAAATGTTTTGGCACAAACGATTAAAATTTTGTTTAAAAAACATGCAACAGAGTTTTATTTTAAATGATGCAATAATTTACATATGAGCAGGCTACCGACTTTGATACAAAAAATAACTCAAATTCGATATGCAAATATAATTCAATAAATTTATTAATCACATTTTTAAATTTTATATTTTGCACGTTCATATAAAGTCAATTCAGTCCTTGTTAAGATTCGTAGATTCTGTAATCTGACAACTTTTACAAAACTTTAAAAATGTTTCCGAGGAAAATGAGCTTACAAATTTTTTGAAACTTGTTCACATCTTTATTTTATAAAATTATTTTACAAAATTTACTGATTTTACAAAGTTATCAAGGACTGCGTGCTTTTATTCAAAAGTTCATTTCTCCCCCTATTTGCAGTTTAAATCGATGTCGATGGTTTTGCCTTTATGTTCCCGTAGGACGCGGTCCTTAATCGGCGTGCCATCGATTACGGCGGCATAAATGAAAATCTTGCTGTACAAGGTTTTCCCATTGTAGCCTATTTTTCTACTCAGAAAAGTTACCCCTTCGGAATTGTCCTCCCGAATCGCGTACCCGTGGTAGCCTTCTTTAATCTAGGCCGACCGGGAGCACTTAAAATATTTACCCGGTTTACTGGTGATGTCTGTGTCAGGGGCGTCGCTAAAAGAAAAATCAAACTATTTAAATTCCCATAATTAACTTTGTAACTTCATAAATATTGAGGAAATTCACGCAGTCTTTGGTAACTTGTAAAATCGGTAAATTTTGTAATATAATTTTGTAAACTTTTACAAAATAAAGAGACGATTTTGATCTGAGTAAGTTTACAAAAAATTGGGAGCTACTTAATTTTCCATCCAAGTTTTGTAAAATTTTTACAGAATTTCCGGATTTTACAATGTTGCCAAGGCCAACGTGAATTGCTTCAATAAACCGTCGCAAATTTTGATAGATTGTAGCTAATTTAGTACCCAAAGTCTCCACAAAGTTTCATTGAATTCCGCCTTAAATAACCTGTGATTTCGTCATTCTTCTGAAATTAGTCAAATCTGACTGTCTCAAAAGTAAGAGATAGGGCATTTTCTTAATTACTTAATTTAGTTTAGTCACAAAATTACTCACCTATCCGCCCAGTTAGTTATTGCTATGCCAGTACTGGTCAAGATGCCTACCGGGAAGCCTCTTTCCGAGTACCAATTGGGACAAATAGACCTTCTTCGTGAGCAGGGAGCATCTCAATCGAGAATTTCTCAATTTCTCGGGTGTTCTCAGAGTGCTATTTCGAATTATGTTAATTCAAAAACCCATCAGGCACTCCAAATAAGTTCAATTGATCGCCCTAGTATCCTCACATCTCGGGATGAGCGAAAAATTGGGAAACTTGCCGCTACAGGGCAGTACTCCATCCGAGAAATTCAAAGGGAGCTGCCTTTCAACTTCTCGAAGGACACCATACATCGGTCTCTGACCAACAATACCGACCTGGAGTGGAGGAAAAAGCTCACCCAGCCTCCTCTGACACAGCGCCACAAGGACGCAAGGCTGGATTTTGCCAGGACCCACATGTCATGGGACAAGGAGTGGCGAAAAGTCATCTTCACCGATGAAAAAAAGTTTAATCTGGATGGCCCTGATGGTTACTCCCACTATTGGCACCATCTAAAGAAGGAACCAGAAATATTTTCCAAACGACAAGCAGGTATGTCTAGGAAGATTTTAAACTCAAAATTTACTCAGATCAAGGGCATCTCTTTATTTTGTAAAAGTTTGTTTGTAACATTATTATACAAAATTTTACAAATGTTTCTAAAGAAAATTAGCTTACAATGTAAATTATTTTACAAAGTTTACAAAATTACCAAGGACTGCGTGAATGATCTAAATAATTTGAATTTTCTAATTGTATTGTTCCTCAGGAAGGCTCCATTTTTCGTTCTGCTCGAAGTTCTGTTCTTTTTCGGGTAGAGGAAAGATTTTAAAAAAAGTATGTGGATTCACGTCGAATCCGAAATCGCCTAGTTAAAGGGGACCTCTTCCGGAAAGCGGAACAAGAGATATTGGAAAGTATTTATATTTATGCTAAAATTACTGTCTATTTACATACTAAAAGCATTGCATTGCGACAAATTTAACTATACTGTTCATCCGAGAAAAATGTGGCCCTAGGAATTCTAAAGGTTACCTGGCGGAAATTGCCTATTTTGATTATTTTATCAATTACAGAAATTTATTTCAGTGTCAAAATTCAAAAGTTGTTAAGATATTACTTAAAATTACGATAGCTGCCAGCTAACCTTTTAGAGAAAATTGGCTGGGCGAAGGCCACATTTTTTTCGGAGGAAAAGTAATAAAGAACAAAATATTTAAAATATTTAATAAAGAACATTACCAAATTATTCAACTCACTTAATATTTAATTGAACTTAGGAGGAGAGCGTCACCACCTGCCCTTCACAGATCTCGATGTCCTTTGGATATGTGGTAGGGTCCTATGAGTGTACTAAAACCCTGAAGTGGTTTGACTCCGTGGCCACATTTGCGCCCGCCACACCCACTCAAAGGCGCCAAAAACACGAAAAAACCCTGTTTTCATGTACTTTAAATGTCACCAAAAATCCAATTTTGCTCGGATTCTGACAAAATTTACATTTTTGTGATCCCAGATACTTGTGTGATCATATCCAGTAGATATCCCAAATTTTTTGAATTTTTGAATTTTTTCGAGTAGTTCATCAGCTCGAAAATTTCAAAAAACTTTAGATTGCTATTGAATATTATAAGGCAAGTATCTGGGATCACAAAAATGCAAATTTTATCAAAATCCGCGCAAAATTGGATTTTTGAAGTTGATAACTTTTGTGGTTTTCATCCCTTTGAGTGGGTGTGGCGGGCGCAAATGTGGCCATAGAGTCAAACCACTTCAGGGTTTTAGTACACTCATGGGACCCTATCACATATCCAAAGGGCATCGAGATCTGTGAAGGGCAGGTGGTGACGCTCTCCTCCTTAGTCGTTAATCGTTAAATACATTTTTTAAATCAATAAAAATTCATAAGAATACATAAATTTTTATCAAAAATTACAAAACTTTCATATTAAGTAAAACCAATCAATTATGTACAATACAATTGTTGTACAAAAGGTGAAACTACAAAAAAATATAGTTGACTTAATTTATCTTAAACTAATTTACCTAGTTTAATTTTACAGGATAATAATTATTGGCGTCGGACCACGGAAAAATTTAAAAATATAAATTCCTTAAAGGTTCAATATTTTAAATAGGCACAAATAAATGTGACAAAATTCGCTAAATTAAGCTGCAATTTGACTGTTGCAAATTGAGAACAAAAATCAAATTTGTTACAATAAATTCGCGTTCTAAAATTTCTATTAACTTGTCTTTATTTATCCTAAACTAAAAATATGGGTGCTGATTTGCCCTTTTGTGTGATTTTGTACCCTGCATCACAGTGTTCCTTAATTTTATCCTAAAAATGTCCACGATTGGTCACGCAGTGTTAAAAATGTTTTTGATCTTGCTTGTTTCATCCCTTTTACATACACTTATTGCTGCTAAAGTATATCGCCAAAGTGACTTTAAATGAGTAGTTACAGGTCCGTACACTCTTAGAAAACTAGTATTAAATCATTACCGACCGACCAGAGTACATTTGTGACTCTACCGGCACGGTAATAACGGGAATTGCCTTTCAGTAATGTTGTAAGGTACAAACCACGTTGGCATCCAATACTATTTGAAAGTTAATTTTTTATGGACGTCTCTTTAATATTTTCATATGGTTTCGCCCTGGTTTTACCCACTGTTCAAAACAGCTATCCAAAATGGGTTTTGGACACCGAATTTTACGTCGGAAATGTCCAAAATAGAAAATGTGGCAAATCTTTCTATAATCCTTTTATGCATAATATCCTTAAACATATTATGTAATCTTCACTGCGATTCACTACGATTCACTACGATTACATATTATGTAATCTTCACTAATCTTCATCTTGAGCACTTTGATGTGTAATATGACATGGTTTGGAAAATTTCTCAATTTCTCATAAAAAAAGCATATTTAAATAGTTTTTCCAAATTTAGTGGTATTACATGCCAATTTTTTTTCAACTGCCCGTTGCTTCTAATTAATTTAAGTGATTTTATAAGATAGTTCAATTTAAAGTTTTCATAATAAGTTTGATCTTTCCAAAGTCCAGCTTTGTTATGCTCAAATAAATTTGACGGGACTAAAACGTAACAGATCAAATTATGTATTAGTTTACACATTTTACGGGATACAAAACATTGCAATGAATTTGCTCCAGTGCAAATTTTGCAAATCTGTACAAGCAATTCTGTGATCGTATTTTAATTTGTTTCTAAAGGATTTACTTATTAAAGAGAGAGAGAGAGTGTGCGAAATAATCTTGCAAAATGAAAATATGCTCAATTTCTGGGCAAATTTGGGTACAAAAAATCCTACAGTTTTTCAGCAAAAGTTTTCTGAAATCTAGCAAATTTTGTTAAGTTATGTTTCAATACTCGATTTGCGAGACATTCGAAGGGTGGACGAGAGTACGCTTAATATATTTTTTTATTAACAATTTTTATGATTATTTTGTAGAAAAAAAATGTCATAACGTTTTGAATTAGGGAAATTGCTCCCATTTTAAAACAGAGGCAAAATGTTTGATCTTTGATAGAATTAAGGAATATGATTTTTGCCCAAATAAATTTAACGGAGGATAAGTTTAACAGATTTTTGATCCAAAATTTGGATTTTTTTGCACATTTTACGTGGTAACTAAAACAGTGAATTTGCTTCATTGCAAGTTGAGAAGTTTTAAACCCAAGTTTTGAGTCCATCCGAACCGAATCCGAATTTTTCGACTGAAAAAATGTCCATCCGAACCGAATCCGAATTTTTCGGTTCAAAAAAATCTCCAAACCTAACTGAATGATTCGGATTCGGTTCGGATGGATACTTTATCCAAAATTCGGATAACCGACTCAACCCTGTCAGTACAGGTAGATAATAGAGCTTTGACTTATATTTATCGCGATTCATTTTATTCAATAAAAATTAAAACTAAATTTATTTATGGGCGACCATTTTATACCATTAAATTCCCGAAAGTTATGAAAATTACGAAGGAAATCAGGTGATGAAATCAACCAATTCCAAGTTTCAAAAATCAAGAATTTGTTTTATAAATAGTTCTGGCCTACACTTATCAAAATTCAATTCAAATCCTGGAAATGTAGAATTGCTAAAAATATTAGTTTTCGAAACATTTGGAAGAAATTTAACCATTATTAAAGTTGATGAGTTTACAGCCAAATATTGATTGCCAAATATTTAGCAAATTTTACATTTCTTAGTACTCCCAAGTTGCGAATTAACTGTTTTTGTCCAGTAAGAAGAAAACAATCCAATAAAACTAAGGATGTGTGACATGTTTCGCTCAAACTTTCCGTCATAAAAATCACGATAATTTCCTTTCATAAAATTTCTCCACGATTATATAAAGGACATCGATTCTGATTTGCAGCCATTCAGGTCCCGAACATCTTCCAATTTTAACAAGTAAAAATTTCCAGCGTAAAAATTAACAATGTTCAAAATTGTCGCGTACGTAGTTCTTCTGGTAAGACAAGTAATAAATTATTTACGGGGATATTTGTATCCCAGTAAACTTGATAAACTTATAAAAAAATTACTCATTTTTAAAAATATTACGAAATAATAAATCTGAGACCATTCCAAACTCACACAATCGAACGAAAGTGAGGCAATTCACGCAGGCCTTGGTAACTTTGTAAAATCCGTAAATTTTGTAAAATAATTTTACAAACTTTTATAAAATAAAAAACGCCCTTGATCTGAGTAAGTTTACAAAAATTGGTAAGCCAATTTTCCTCAGAAATATTTACAATATTTCGTAAAATTTTCGAAGTTTACAGAATTATCGGAGTTTAAAAAGTTAAGATCGACTGCGTGAATTGCCTCAGTGTCATTTTACTTCTTAAACTAATTGTAGTTTACTGGGTTACAAACGTAATGAATTACCAATTTTTTTGCATTAATCACTTTCTCTAATTTATTTTTGAAAAAATATTTAGGTCGCTTTGTCATCCGCCCTGCCGATGGAGGACGAGTATCAAAATGGCGAATTTATCCAAGAAAAGTTGACCAAATGGAAGTGTCACAAAGGCTTCAGCGGGGTCATGACGGAGGACATGAAGAAAGCCATCGAAACCTGCAAGGCCAAAAAAATTAAGGCGAAATATGTAAGATCTTTAGCGTTTTTTTCTTCCAAGTTTGAGATAGATTGGTGCTGATATCTTTTCATGGTATGATTATGATTAATATTGAAGGGCAACTCAATTTAAAAAAGTGGGCATGATTCTTTTCACAAATTTACCAGTTTTTTTGTAGCAAATTTTCTAGATTTCGCAAATTCTGTCGACCATTTTTGACAACCAGATTGACAATTTCTCTAACTTCAATATTTTTTGGTACCGATTTGGCGAACTTTTTGCACCAGTTTACAAAAAGATATTACTTAACATCGTTACTTTAACCAGTACCCAATTTGCCAATTTTAACCGATTTTGCACTTCAAATCCACAAATTCTGAAATTTCATTATTTTTTGGTACCAATTTATCAAAATTTTTATCACCGGTTTCCAAACCATGTTGCTTAACATCGTTTCTTTAACAAAATCAATTTTTTGCCAGTGTTTCAAAGCCTGTTTTGCCGAGGAGATGAAATTCTGCAGGAACGAAACATTGGACGAACCCAAGCTCAAAAGCCACCTTAAAGAAATGTTCGACCAGAATGAACCACTCTCCGCATCGACCGAAGCCAAGTGGATTGAAGACACCAAAAAATGCATTGCCGACTGTAAGTTAATAGCTTACTTATGCAAATTAAATTTAATACGCAAAAAATATTAACCGACAAAACAATTTGAATTTCGCGCAATTTTTTGTCGCGTACAAAACTAGCCGAGGATTATAATTTCAATTTCTGAAACAAATGTCTGACACGTAATTTAAATTTTTACAGTTAAGAAATCTGGGAAAAAGTTTCCAAAGGAATTCACCGGTGAATGTAAAGAACTCGAAGATTTCAGCAAATGCATGATGGATTCTCGGGTAATAATTTTATTTTATTCAGATTTTTCATATTTTACAGATTTTTGTAATTTAATTTTTTCTCCCACTTTTCAGGAATGCCGTTTAAAGGATTAATTTCTGAATTTGTGCCAATCGTAATTGATAAATTTATTAAAGCGGAAATATATAGAAATATATCAAAATTTAGTGATCACAAAATATGTTGTAGTTGAACGTCCAACAAAATAAAAGTGCGTTGTTTTAGCTACTAAATTTTAAAAACAGATTAACACTTCTCTAGGTCTTGATTCATTTTTGTTAATAACTTCGAAAAGTAGATTGTAGATTTTGTGAGACCTGCGAAGCAGGTTGATACAAAATCAGGATTTTGTGAAGCTTCCGATTACGAAAGACATCACGGAGTAATAGTTGAGTAGTGGTCGATTCCAGGACGTTGGAGAGACACTACCTGCCGCCTAGTTTAAAGTTATAAAACCAAAAAGTCATCATACCCACTTGCACACGCCACACCATTCAACCGGCATAGCTTCAAAGACCGAAACGACTTGATTAATGAGGGGTGGGATGGAGGGCCGTGATGTCTTTCGTAATCGGAAGCTTCACAAAATCCTGATTTTGTATCAACCTGCTTCGCAGGTCTCACAAAATCTACAATTTTGTCTCATCTTCCTCTTACTCCGACATCACGGAGTAATAGTTGAGTAGTTATTCAAAGCCAAGTCGTTGAGGCAATAATTAGAATTAAAAACAGTACAATTTGGTTAACTAAATTGAATTTACAATATTAATTTATTCACAAATTTTGTATTAAATGATTACATTGCAAGAACGGCATGACCAAACTCATTCTTATCCTCAAACGGACGCTTATAAAATAAGGCAAATGTTTTAGAAGACGGGGTCCATCCGACTCGTCTTAAAATTGTGTCAATGTTAACATCTCTTGAAGCAGCTTTAGATACAGACGCATGCCTAAAACTATGAGCATGAAACTTATTAACATTAATCCCAGATAACTCTAATATATTACATAACCATCTACTTATAGTTTGCGAAGTTACAGCTTTATGAGGTTTTGTTAAACTAATAAACAACCTTGTCTCATTTCCTCTAATACCTTCAGTCATATTCTTATAAATTCTTAAAGTTTCTACAGGACAAATATCTTTATCATGGTAGGGTGGAATAATCAACACTGGATTTGACCTAGTTATAGTAGTTGTTTTAAGATTACTTGTTATTCTAATCTGAACAGTATCACTCCATAAAATATCTCTGATCATAATACAACTTATTGTCTGCACCCTCTGCCCTGTACACAAAGCTAATAATGCAACTAATTTCAAAGTAACATTTCTTAAATTCATAGTATTACATGTTTTTAGATAATTTAAAACTAGATCAGGATTCCATGTACAATCATATCTCGGTCTTGCTGGTCTCAATCTACTAACACCTCTCATAAAATCAACAATTAGTTTATGTTCTCCAATTGAACTACCATCAACGCTGCCAAATACTGAAGATAACGCTGACCTAGTTGAATTTAACACATAATAACTTAAGCCCTTTGTGTACAATTCGGTTAAAAACAAAAAATAATTACTAATATTCACATCCCATATTGAAAATCCTTTTTGACTACAAAAGTATGACCATTTTCCTAAAGCTGATTCGTATTGTTTCCAAGTCCCTTCTGCTTTTGACGCTCTCAATATATCTAAGACATTTTCTGGTAAGTTCAATTTTTGCATTGCTTCCCGGATAAGATCGCGGCCATTAATGATAACTTGGGGTTGAGCGGATGTAGTTCTCTGTAACTAGGATTAAACAACAAATTCCTATTAGGACCCTATTTTAATACTGGTGTCACAGCTAATCTATTAAACAAGGGAAACCATGGTTGACTTTTCCATTCAGGTACCACAACAATTCCTTCGCTCTTATCCTCAATAATTTTATTGATTACTCTATTCACCAAATTAAATGGTGGAAAAGCATAAAAATGCTCTACCCAAGTAAACGAAAAAGCGTCTATTCCTTCCGATGTTGGATCGGGCTTATATGAATAGAATCTCTTACACTGAGTCGTCCCGTGTGACGCAAACAAGTCTATTTCTGGAACGCCAAATTCTCTACAAATTCGATCAAAATAAAAAGTACTTAGCATAAAATCAGAAGAATCGTTCTGTTTTCTTGATAATTTATCCGCTACATAGTTGTCCTTAGTATTAATATAATTCGCAGCAATTGTAAAATCATGCGACTCAGCCCAGCGCCACAACTTCTTGGCTACATCATGTGCACCTGTTGACCTACAACCTCCAAATTTATTAATGTATTCCATTACTGTCGAACTATCTGTGCGAACCAAAATATGAATTCCTCGAGTTTTTATCAAAAATCTGAAGCCAAGGAAAACGGCCCAAATCTCTAGCACGTTGATATGATAATCAAGAAATTCTCCTGACCAGTGACCATGAATCTCTTTTCCATCCGCCTCAATCCATGCTCCCCAACCTGTGGGGGATGCATCTGTTAAATAATACATTGCGGTTTGGGCTTGTGCAAATTATTATAAAATTTTCCGGCGTTAAGAATCCACCAACTCAAATCTGACTTGGCCTCCAGCGATAAACCTACTTTCCCTGACCAATTATTACAACATTCATCCAGTGCCAAAGTTTTCTCCTGCTCTAACTGTTTGGTATATAACATACCATATTTTGTTGCTGGTGCTGCAGCTATTAACGTTCCAATTAATTCTGCTAATTCTCTGATTGTTATTTGTGAACTATTAACGGTCTTGTCACATTTAGAAATTACTCTATTGCATTTTTCCTCTGGCAAAGACAAAGTCATGGTACTTGAATTAATTATGAATCCTAAATAGCGAACAACTTGTGAAGGAATTAATTGAGATTTTTCCACATTAATTTTTAAACCTAAAGTTTCCAACAATGACATTACTTTCCTTAAGGAAGACATACATTCATCATATGATCTGCCCAATACCAACATATCATCGAGATAAGAAACTACTAGTACTCCGTTGGAACGTAAGTAAGCAACTATTGGCTTATTTAATTTAGTGTTTAATTTGGTGCCACAGATAAACCAAATGGAACAACTGTATATTTATATAATGTTCCCCTCCATCTGAATTTTAAATATTTTTGAAAAGATTTTTCTATGGAAATGGAATGATATGCATCCACACAATCAATTACCGCCATAAACGAACCCTTTGAAACTAATTCCCCAGCAATTCTAATGTTCTCCATTTTAAAATGGTATGACTCTAAATATTCATTCAATTTCTTTAGATTAATTATAGGCCGTCTTGATCCGTCAGGCTTGGGAACGGTAAAAATTGTAGAAATAAACTGATCCGATTCTTCGTCTGATTTTACAACAGCACCAGTAATTAATAGTTTCTTAATACAATCATCAATTATTAAACTCTCATTTTCGGAAAACTTGGGATTAGTTGGCTCATAAGTTTGAATTGGAATTTGAATAAATGGTAATTTAAATCCTGCTATAGCATCTAATACGAATTTATCTTTAGTAATATTACGCCACTTATCTATAAATTTGAATAAACAACCAGCTTTCAAACCAACCTTTAAAACTTGCGATTTTTCTGTTGGTTGTATTGCTGATTTTGTTGCAGAAATGGTCGATGAACTGCACTCTGCCGAAATTGCCCGCTCCCCCGCTGGTAATTTGGACGGAACGGGCGATTCCAGTTTAAAGACCCGACGTTGGAACGAGGTCGCATGATGTATGGCTGATAACGGTTTGGTGGTCGACTTGCTGTCTGCCTTATCAGAGACGCCGTTGCTTTTGATGCTTTCAAGCTTTCATTTAGGTCGCTTCCAAAAAGCCACTCAGATTGAGAAATCTAATATTTATCATCCATTCATCAAGATTCATCACCTTTTGTGCCATTAAAATTAACATCTTAGAAAAACTATTCAATTTTATACCTGAGCATTACAAATCCCCATATATTCAGGATTCAAATGCTTCTTCACATCCTGTCTTCGGTTAGAATTAATGACCTGGATTTGATCACCAATAATGTTTCCAGCATCCATGGCCAATTTTACAATGCTATTTGTTGTCTCCTTAGGAATTTCCCTCTTTTGAGATACAACAATATTTGCAATTTTTGATAAAGCTGCTAGCGATGCGCTCAAAGTATGTTGTAACTGTTGGTTCTTCACATCAGAGAGGCGAGCGTTTGATGGTAGAATTCTCCAAATCTCTTAATTAATTTTTGGAGGAACAAATTGTTTGCAATTGTTTGGAATTTTCAATGAAATCTTGAGCTTCTCTTTCGATTCCTTTGTCAATGGTCGAAGAACTGTCTTTCCAAATCCCTCCGCAACTTGAGGAAGTAAATCTTCATCAAAATCAGTTTCTTTTTCGATATCTTGCAATAATCCTTCAATTTCAGGGTCTTCACGATCTATGCGTACCCAATTGAATATTTCCAATTTGATTGAATCATTTAATAATTACGTTAACTCAGTACCTTGCTCTTTTTCTGAATCACCATTGATCATTTTATTACAAATATCATCTTCAGTTTCCTCATCTGACAGTCCTAGAGACCAGGTTGACTTCTTTATTTCTTTATCCTCCCCAGAACTACCAGCTATTCCAACAGCTTCAGATAATTTGGAAATCATTTCTGGCATGCTTTTCAGCGCTTTCAAAGCTTCGTCATGTTCATTCATTTTGGCGAGCACCTCACTCAACGAATTTGAATCTGGCTTATCTGCCATCTTAAAAAACAAAGAATAATCTTATTCAATTAATTTAGTAGTGGACCATGCAGGTTACCACTTGCCCGTTGTCTTATCAAGACAGCGAAGGCCCGAGCAAAAATAATTTCTTCCAACAAAAGAAGAGAATTTACTGTTTATTCACCAAAATCCTAGTCCATCCCTTACTCCCCGTTCGGTCAAAATATGTGTGCTTACCTTTTTTTAGCTTCCTAGACGACTTGAATTAATTTGTTTGAATTAAGTTTTCACAAAGCAGGAACAAAATTTTTGGTGTCTCTCCCCTCGTGCCTAAAAATCAACTATGCCGGTTGAATG